CCACAATACTTTTTTGAAGCATAAGCTATAGCCCAGAGCGGGGACACCGGCGCTAAAGAAGCACTGCCTTGGGCCTGCACCAGGGAACACTCGTCTTGGGGGTTGCTACCCTTTTTTCTTCATCCTCAACCACCTTTTTTCTAAGGGTCACCCTACCCTTTTCTTTGATGATTTTGGGAAAACCAAAAGTCCCTTTTATTTCCAAAAGTCACCTCCTCTCTCTCTCTCACACCCACACATATTTATGTTCATGTGTGGGTTTTTATACCTCTCTTTCATGATTTGGGGCGATAAGTTCGCATGCTACTACCCAAACAGATTCTCCCACGCCTTAACCATTTCACTAGGTTTTTAATCTCTCTTCACCAGATCCTAGGACTCTCTGTCTCTTTATCTCTCCCACTCTTCTCTCTTCTCTCTTCTCTCTTCTTTCTTTCTCTTAATAATAGCTTTCTCTCTCCAAGACTAGGACTGATAAAGAGGGTCAAAAGTTAGCTCTGCTGCTTCCATGGCTTTATCTGGCACTGTCATTAATTTTCTTTTTGAGTCCTCATTTGCATGTTGGAGAGGAACTGCTGACCAATTGACCACTTCAGTATGTAAAACTACTGTTTGATTAAGGGGGTGGGACAAAAAGACACATTTTTTTCCCACTCCAAAGATCTTTTAATACTGGTGGGCCTTGTTGGTCTCTTCTGATTTAACTTTTGTTTTGCATGTAAACCCTTTTCTAATTAGAAGAGCAAGCATACTTTTTTAATCTGTTATAATCTCCACCCAAAACTGAATATTTTGATCCACTTTTCTAAACATTGTGATTTTTCCATTAGGTTGTTCTCTTTCTACAGTATAAATTTTCAGCAGTAGGTCTAGAAAATGTGTTATTATTTATGCACTGAAATTCTGGTTAATAAGCCTTGGTTTGAGCTCAAGATAGGTCTCTCTCTGTCTCTCTGTGGGAATGAAATTAGAGTGAAGCAAATGGAAGCCAACTTGAAGATTTTATGATGTGGCCAATGGGTATGTTTCAATTATGGATGGCAATTCGGCCAAACCCTCTTGTCGGATTGTGGAGACAACAAAGACAACTCTCTCCCAGTACGAACTCGAGTTGCTGCACCTCTCTCTCTCTCTCTCTCTCTCTCTCTCTGTGAATGTGAGACTTTTCTGTAGTCTCTCCACAAACAGGCAGGCAGGCTTACCTCCTAGAAGGACCCAAAAGTTTTCCTCGAGGCTTAATGAATGTATAACAAGCCAACTCCACTACGTAGTTAGAATAGGAAGGCCTTACGAGCCAACTCCACGAGTTTCCAAGTTCAAGTTCCCATTTAATCAAGGCGTATGATTCGAGGGTAACTACTTATATTCTAAATTTACGTCTTAGTTTTGCACCCAGACAACACATGACTAAGATTGTCTCTTCATCAAAAAAACACAAAAAACAAAAATCCATTGTTATAGGGATCTAATTCAATAGAGTCATTAAATTAGTTATAAATTTCAAGGTTAGATGAAGTCTATTTTCAATTTAATAGTTGTATTAAATTACGTCTCTATATTGGATTCTCAAGTTAGGTTCAAATAATATTTTCCAAAAAAAATAAAAAAGTATGCAACAAGTCTTTTACTTTTCAATGTAATCAAGTTTATAGCCGAGGACGACCCAATCTAGATCCGATGGGCTCAGTGTTACTAGATATTAGGAACACTTTGCATAGCTTCCGGTATTTTCAGACATCTACTGTAAGAAGAATCGGCAATAAGGTGATACCAAGTTTGCTAAAGAATGTAAATTTTATTGATAACTCTGATGAACGGATGAAGGAGGCTGATTTCATAATGCCCCTCCTTTTTTTTGGATATTCCGAATTAAATGAATACCTACCGTTTTTTTTCAAAAAAAGAGTTAATATTTAAAAGGGTTGGACCATAAATGTTGGGATTTAACACGCCTTAAACCCACAGACAAACACACATAATCGAAGAATAAACCAAGAACATAAAGTAATAAGAAACAAGAAATAACAAAACACATAAATTTTACATGGTTCGGTAATTTGCCTACGTCCACGAAACGTCAAGGATTTCATTATTAAGAGAGAGGATTACAGAGAGCGGTTATGCAAGTTGATCAAACCCTAATCACCAAGTCTCAGAAAATTTTTCATTAAAAAATCATGCAATATTACTTCGGGTCGGGTCATCATCCAGATCAACATACAAACTAGACTCCACAAATACCAAACAATAATTGGGACGTTTACAATATAAGTTTCCACGAGGCAAATAGGAATGCAAATTTATTTAAATACTTTTTTCTTTATTTTTTTATTTTTTGGTAGATCATTTACTATTAGTGAAGAGACTCATTTATCTAGAATAAGTCACTTGAATTAATAGTAAATGATCCGTTAAGAAAAAAAGAGAAAATATATGTTAGAGTTGATCTCACTCGTATAGATAAGACCCAAGAAACGCAAGAGATTGGCCCATAATGTTGGGCTGAGATCCAGACCTAACAGCATGATACAAAATATCAGAAAGGAGCTCACATATTGTGGAGGGCATTGATAGAAGTGAGCAAAAAAGAGTAGAAGTAAATGCTTGCCAAAGTAAATGGAAGCCCACCAGACAATATCCACACAAGTCCAATAGTATCGAGGTTAAAATTAAGCCGCAGCTAATCATACAAACTCAAGACATGTTAAATTTTAAGTGTTGAATATTAAATTTTTTAATTCGTAGAATATTTTGTATTTATTTATTAAATTAAATTAAATTATTTGAAAAATATAAAGAAGTCAAATTTAAAAATTACTATTATTCTAATTTTGTCATTCTTTTTAACAATCTCACCGCAACTACTTTATTCTTATTATCACCATCACTACGGTGGCAATGATGGTGGGGTGGCGGCGGGTGACAAAGGTGGTGGTGACACAATGGTGGTAGAGATAGTGGTGACAGAAGCACAATGGCAGTGGTAATAGATGGGGGATATTGAAAAGTAAAAAGTGTAAAATATATTGATGGTATATTTGTCTATTATGAAGAATTTATAAAATCCTTACTGACTAATATTTTCAGTACTAAATAATAAGTAAATGACTTATTATTTAAAATTTTTGTCTATTTCGTATAAGTTTTTTAAAATATTAAGTGATACGAGTTCAGGTTACCAAACGGGTTTAATTTATTAATTACTTAAAATAGTCAATTTTAAGCATTAAGTGACAATATCAAATAGACCCGTTTTACCTTTATTCAATTTGTTTTCATCTATGTCAGGGTATTATTACTACAATTAAAAATTATTTATTATAACTTTCAAATTCTACTTACTTAAAAACTAAGAGAAATTCAAATGAAGGCACGGTGAAACCCCAAAAAGGAAGAGATATATATTGTATGTGTTCTTGCCTAAAAAGGATCTTGATTGACCTAATTTTAAGAAAATCTATCAATAAGACTACGCCTAGGTGATTGTTATTCTCATTTCCAGTCTTCCATCAGATTTTTTTTGGATTTTTGAACATAAATAAGTAAAATTATAATTATCCAGAAAATCACTCTTTATTTTATTTTTTGTTTTGACTTAAAGATAACAACCCTCAAGTCTCCGCAGAGATAACAACCCCCAAGTCTTCACCTTCGAGTAACTGTTTTAAGTAACTTTAAACACCGACTTTCACATTCTATCAATTTCATATCTTATTGGTTGATCTCTTAATAAAAATTTAGAATAATGCCTATAATGATAGTGCGTCAATTAAAAGATAATAAGTACAATGTTTTCATATCAAACTACTTTGAAGAGTTATCTTTATCGAATTTTGTAAAATTGATTTAGTACGCATTTAATCTTCTCTCAAATTGACTGGTTTGAATTTTAGATAAACAGAGGGGTTAAATAGAAACTATACCCATTGAAAGATTTTAGAATTTTTGTTCTGACCACATGGATTTTAGATTTTGAATTTCTCTAATTGATAATAATGTACCGCTGTTGCCATATTTGAGTACAAAAACTGTGAAAAACAAGATAAAAAAAATAAGGGCTAATTTTAATTTGTACTTTCAAAGTTTAAAAATATCAATTTATATCTTAAAAGATATAAATTTATATCAATGTACGCCTGAGATTAAATTAGTCCATTTTGCAGTTAAAAAAATTTAGACTAATTATAAATTACACCCTTAAATTTTAAATATTTCATATTTATCATCTAAAAACAATTTCTTCCATTAATGTTTGTTAAATAGCTTTCAATTGCATCATGTCATAGTATTTTCGTATCATGTTCGAGTCAATAAAAAAAAAATTAAAAATTTTTTTAAAAAAATTATAAAATACCTATTTTTTGCTTACAATACTTACTAAATAACTATTTTCTATCTACAGTTAGATTTGAATTTTTTGTATTATATAAATAGTCATAAATGTGAAATATACGACTCTACACAAAAATTTATGCTAAAAATATTTTTTTATCGACCAAACACAACATGAAAATAATACGACATGACACAAAATAACACGATACAACACAATTGAGAGGTATTTAAAGAATATTAATAAATAAAATTATTTTTTAATCATAAATGTGAAATATTTAAACATTAATGGTATAATTTATAATTATTTCAAATTTTTTTAACGGTAAAATGGGTGGCAGTTAATTGCCCGTGCACATTGATATAAATTGATATTTTTAAACTTCGTGCAAGTGCAAGTGCAAGTTGAGATTAGTCCAAAAAATAATAGTGCATTATTACTATTCAAAGATTCTCCGGGTATATGGTGAGATTTTCACTTTTTAAGGGAAGAAAATAAAATTGTTAAAATTTAGTTGAGTTAGTTGCCTCATAATTTGGCATTTGGATTTGACTCACCCCCCGGGCACCCACCCCAACACCCCTTGCCTATCTCTTTCTCTTTCCCTTCGTCAAGAAGAAATCCGGCTTCTCTCCCTCTGTAGCACTCTCCAAAATCACCAGCGATGCACGAAACAGAGCTCAACGATTTGTCCGACGACGCCGATTACGCTGCCTCCATGCAACAAGTAGGCCATCACTTATCCAATCTGATCCTAATTGGTTCTGTATATAATTCCGCAAATTGATAAGTGAAACTCGATTCTCCACCGCGTTCAATTTAGTTGCTGTTTTGTGGTGTGATTTTGATGTTAATAAGTTTATTGCTTTCAAATTTGGGATAACCGGTGAATCGATGAGAAGTTGTTGAATTGATTTTGATGTTTGGGTGTGATATGTGATAGGGTTCGGCGAGGATGACTCGGTGTGATAGTAGCAAACGGAGCTCATCGAGCGACATGGACGGTGCTGAAATTGTGTATTTGAAGGATAATGTGGCAATTCATCCAACTCAGTTCGCATCTGAAAGGATTAGCGGCAGATTGAAGTTGATTAAGCAACCATCGTCTTTGTGTATGGTATGCATTCGTCATTAATTACCGGAAATAAAATAATTTGTGGTTGCACATTGAAAATTTAGTCATACAATATGCATGTATATGTATGTGTGAATTTGTGGATGTGATTGGGGAAGTGAAATCTATTGTGCTGTGCCAGACATGGATTCCGTATAAAGGGCAAAACTCGAATGCAAGGCTGTCTGAGAGAGGTTAGGCTTAATTTTGTATTTTCGGACACAGATATAGTTGTATATATACACGTGTGTACATGTGTACACACTCATACTCACTCTCACTCTCACTCTTTTATGTCAGTATAAATGTTATAGTTACTGATTGTACTGTTGTGGCTGATTTGTGCAGATACAAGTCTTTATACTATAAAGGCAGTGCCATTTTCTGATGTGCGGTCAATTCGTCGGCACACACCGCCACTTGGGTGGCAATACATTATTGTTGTTCTGTCATCTGGTATGTCAGTTAAAATGCCAAGCCATTGAGTATTATGATTATTGGGCAAGTGGTTTAGTTCATATGCAACATGTCCAGTGGTTTGGTGCTTTATGTGTTTAAGACTTTCATAAGCACTCCACTAGTATAATGCGGGTGGCTAGGGTATGGTGCTTTTGAGTAGTCGAATGATGGAGTTTGAAAGCTGATTGAATAAAATACACACGGACATATTTTTGTACATGTTCCACATGTCATATATCTTTCAAACAAAGGGATTGCCAGCAGCCTTGTAGGGCATCATTATTGTGATGTTGGTTCCAAATATACCAAACAAACTTACAAGTAAAGATTTAAGCAATGATCAATCCTATGTTTTTATCGGTCATTCTCTTTTGTGAAATCGAGACATTAGAGAAACTTGTTTAAACTGAGGGTTCCACCACTCACAATTTTATGTGTTGTTGGAATTGTTTAAAAGCTTCTAAGATGAGAGTTTTACAAAACAGAATGATGGTTGTGGGTTTTATAAATGGTAGAAGTCGAAGTTGGCTCAGTTTGAAAAGTGACTTATAGGAATATTTAGGAAGTGGTATGTACGAATATTCAAGAAGAAATGTGAAGTTTTTCATTTAATAGATGGCAAAAGGGTAGGATAATGGAATAGGATTGATTATGGACGAATGCTATTGAGTATTTAGGCCACGAGAAGGGCGGTTCTAGGCCTGGGAACAAGTTGAGAGAAGTAATTTTGGTCATCCTTGTGGGTTTAGAGTTGCCAAGGTAGAAAATGATTGAGCAAAAGTTTACTTTTTGCAAAATTGGGATTTAAGGGTTGAAATGGGTGGTTAACAATCTGATCATGGTGTAGAAGTGTTAGAAAAGAAGTGGAAGAAAAAGAAAAGGAAGAAAGATTTACGAGCTTGATTTACTGTTCTAAAAAAACCATCTAATGCAAGAGACAACTCTGGTTCAATACATTGAATACATCGACAACTAACCCAATATGGCCCTAGATTGGATCCATGGGCCACAACCATCAGTCCGTGTTAGAAGACATATTGAAATGACCTGGATGGTGTTCTCTTTAAACCTAATACAATGAAAATAAATCTGACAACCAATTCACTTGCACTAAAATGTACTAGAAATTAAGAGTCAATTGAGGCATATTGTTGATCACGCATGGTCCATAATATCTATCTGATGCTTCTTAGTTCTTACTGCTAGGGGCTCGTATTGGGCTGATTTCTGTTTCAATTTTTGTGTATTGCTATTTTGTGCACTGATCTCTGATGATCCTTACCCCCCCCCCCCCGGGGGGGTTGTATTGTGCTGATTTCTGCTATATTTCTATTTTGTGTACTGATCTGTGATACTGACAGGGGCCTGTATTGGGTTGATTTCTGCTTCATTTCTATATTGTTTCCAGATTAGTAACATACATTTCAAGTCATTGTCTGACTGCTTTTATTTTGCAGGTCTAGCATTTCCTCCCCTTTACTTCTACAATGGAGGAGTGCGTGAGTTTCTAGCTACAATAAAGCAACATGTTTTCCTTGTTAGGTTTGTAATTTTTGTTTTGTGCAGTTCTTTTACAGCTTTGGTCTCCCAGCTGCAATATGATGGAAGAACGCCTATATTTCCCTGGTGTCAAAAAGAGAAACCATTTGTAGGAGAAATTTGGGGAAGGATCTTGTAGTGCAAACAGGGGTGGAGCCAAAAAATTGTGTCCGGGTGGGCACGAATATTTCAACAAATTATTATTTTTTTCTTACAATTGATAGAAATAGAACAATAATATATTTAATTACATCATATTTAATACTTAAAAGTTCATTAAACCCATCATACCGAAAATTGGTAAGTCTAGTATATACAAACGATAACATTTTTTTTACAAAATATTAACTAATTAAAATTATTTAAAATTGACTTCGGTGAATTTTTGTACTTTTAAAATGATGCTTAACAACTTTATTATTCTTTAGATACATAATCATGTTATCACTTTGGTATTTATAAATCATTTGATGGATTATGGAGTTTAATGTGAACTCTATAATTTTTACCATAATTAGCAAAAATAAATGTCAAAGATCACAAGTAAACTAGCGAATATGTACATTATATTTTTTTTAGTCTTAGAAAATATAAATAATTCTAGTATATTCAAAATTTATCTAGATAGATACATAACCAGCCCAAAATGTGTCAAAAAATTCATATTCATTTGATATAAATATACACTAATTGATGTGCCAAAAAAAATAGGGAGGAGTCGGAGGACATAATTAAAATTATTCATTTGATATAAGTGTACATTAATATTTTTGTCTTTGATTTTAGGTGGGCACAAATAATATATTATACAAATATACAGTATACATACGTAAATAATAAAAAAAAAAAATTTGAGGGGGCACTTGCCCATCCTGAACAGGGCTGCCTCCGCCCTTGAGTGCAAACCATGGAGTGGGCTTTCATCGAATAAAATAAAATAAAAAGAATGGAAAACAAAAGAAAAGGAGTCCTTCCTACTTGGCGCAAATAGATGAAAATTTTGCCATATTTTAATGGATGCCATCATCAAGGAAGGAGAAAGAATAGTTTATAAGAAACTAGTTTCCCACCTTTAGGTGTTAAAAAGGAAATAGAAGAGTAGTTAATGGATTAAAAATACTAATGATACATATATTCTGCTAGTGGGACTGATTGTTTTTCCTTTTCTTCTATTTTTTCTCTCTTTCTTTTCCTGATTGGTTGAGAAATTAAATTTAGAGAGACTTGTCATTTTTTATGTTGAGACATGTATAGTGCTGTCCCCAAAAAGTATCAGTCATCCATATCTGAGGTGTCACAGCATTCATATTGGGGTTTTTGGGGCCCTGGTCTACTTCTTTTCCTTTTTATAGTTTGTGGTGGTTTACAAATTTAAGTGGATACCGTTGAAGTTCACCAGAAATATTTTCTAGATTCTTATTGCATGTCCATTTTTGCAGGTCAGCAGAAGATGCTAATGTGTTTCTTGTGAATGATTTTCAAGATCCTCTTCAGGTTTGTTAATGTTGACGTTTTTATTTTTCTTACAGACTTGATAATAAAACTCCAAAGAATTGCTGCCTCGAGTAAAATCAATTTCGAGCATAGTTGCTTTTATAACGTGGCATAATCCTAATTTTGACTTCATATATAATATACAGCTTGCCCTCGTTTTGACCATGGTGCATGGGACTGAGGATGGGTGTTTTGGTTTGGTGATTTCTTTTGTGTTTCGCCCTCGCCGGGGGGGGGGGGGGTGGGTTTAACTGTGGGGTGATTCTTCTATTCAAGAGTTACGACAGGAACGATTGCACTATAGAACTACAATGTTTTAAGCCAATGATGTTAGTTGGAATAAGATGATAATTACCATGGTTCTGAGGGTAGAATATTGACGTTGCATATGTGGCTCAAGCATGATTTATATATTTCTTCCCTTTGCTCTGGGAGCTAGCCAGTGGGTAGAAACTCTAGTCGAAGTTGAGACCTGGGATGCTTAGGTGGACATAGAAACCCTAAACCAATCAAATTCACATTTTGAGAAGCATAAGTTGAAAGCGGATTGAATATTTCTAAACTGATAGACAATTTTGTTGATTTTAGAGTTAAAGCTGTGTAAGTTCTCATGTTTTTTTATGTGCCTTTCTGCCAAGGTCAAATGATTTAATAGGCCATGTTGGAATCCAATGGCTTTTGGTGTTCGTTGATGACATGGTGTGCTTGGGCATGGTCATAGTAAGTCTAACTCTTAAGCATGAACATTGGGGTTTAAGATATGCTTGTAAGCTAGGTGAAGACATAAAGCAATATTCATAGCGAACAATGGGGTTTAAGATATGTTTGGAAGCTAGGTGTGCTTAGGGATGGTCATAGTAAATCTAACTCCCAAGCGTGAACATTGGGGTTTGAGATATGCTTGTAAGCTAGGTGAAGACATCAAGCAGCACTCATAGTGAACAATGGGGTTTAAGATATGTTTGTAAGGTAGGTTAAGACATAAAGCAATACTTTATAACGATGCTGCCATTTTCTAGACTGATCATCCACAAGGTGGGGTGAATGAAGGGACGAGAACTGGGATCGTGATAAATTAAATTTGATGAAGAAACTAAATAGAGAAGTTTGTGGATTGCTAGGAACTGCCTTTCTGTTATGGTATAAAATGATGCAGCTACAAGGCATTTGACCGTCTGTTGACCTTAAATTCTGCATTTAATTCATGAACTAAAAGCATCTCTAATAATACTCTCTATTTTAAAGAGCATCTTTTAAAAATAAAGAGCAACTTTGATGAAAGGTTAAAATAGAATTTTTTTTAACAATTCCTATAGGACTCTCCATTTTATTAAAAATAGCCTTTACAGGGAAAAGCATTTAATACAAAATGCACATGTGTCAATGTTCCATTCATTAGTTATAGAGTAAAGAGTGAGGTTGACTATCTAAATGTAGAGAATCAAATTGGACTCTCTATTTTAGCTTGTCCAAATAGATAGTCTATTGGAGATAAAATTTTAGGGATTGACTCTCTAAGCGAGTGGGAATAGAGAGCCTATAGAGATGCCCTAAGACAGTATTCCCCACATAAACTGCTCTAAAGCTGCACTCAAATATTTTCGCTCATTTTTTTGATGGTCTTAATTGCAACATTTCCTGCTTTTAAGGTTACTTAATTGACACAGGGACCATGCCTGCTCATGTAAACACAAACAACAGATGCACTTGTCATTTTTCCTCTTAGATATTTTGATTGACAGAGTTAGGGTTGAACATGTGAAGTTTATACTACATGCTTAGGATCTGCACCCTTTTTCTGATGCATATAACCTTTCCTCAACCCTTTGGAATATGAAACATGTACACCTCAAGATTTTGGATGAAGTTGTTTCTGTTGCTGTTTTCTTTTCTTTTCTTGATCATAACTTGATTGTAAGTGAAAGGACTTCTGTTTTTGTCGTTCATGCTTTGAACTGCTATCGACAGAGAACTTTGTCTTCATTGGAGCTTCCTAGGGCTGTTTCTGTTTCACATAGCCCATCTTCATCAGTTTCAGTAACTGAGTCCCCCTCAAATGGAAATCAAGAGGGGACTGATGGGGGTGCTTTTGATGGAAGTTCCAGTAATATTGTACAACATAGGAGACAGAAGCAAAAAGTTAATGATCCTACTCGAGATCTCTCAATACAAGTATTGGAAAAATTCTCTCTAGTGACAAGATTTGCTCGGGATACAACTTCCCAACTCTTTCGTGAAAATCATAGTGATGGCTTCAATGCCAGTGAGAGGAGGAAGCATAACCAATCTTCCAATGATTATCCTAACAACATGGCATCCAGTGAGACACAACAAATTCCTGATGAAATTCCTGTAGCCTCTGATCCCGTGGAGGTAATATTTTGTTTCCTTCTCTACATTGTAAAACTTCGTATTTTATTCAGTTGAATGTATGTTTGGGAATTCATTGCAGAAAAGGGAGATTTTTGACACAATGAATGAAATTTACTGTGTTGGTCTGTGTTTTCAAACTTTAGGCATACAGCATTTTAGTAAAATGGCTAGGGAAGATGAGCCATATGAATTTACTGTGTGGCTTTTTTTGGATCTTTTATATGCTTACTTATAAATGATCAATTCTTCTTCCTCATTTGAGCCTGAATGGTTATGTTTGTCCAATTATATCTGCATTCCAGTTGTAAAGTGGTAAATTCATTTCACAATAAGACATAAATTATGACATTTTCTGGTCTTGGTCTTGTGGTTGTACCATTCTAAGGTGTTAGTGATTGCTCTCACTAATCATGCGTACACCAGTAGGAATTAAATCTAGTTGTCCTTTTGGGCACCATGTAACCCATTGTGAAATTTGTATTTGTACTGGAATTCATGTTTCATCAAACAAGCTTGGTTTAGAAAAAAATTTAAATAAACTAAACTATGGTGAAGCAAAACTAGTAGTTGAATTCAATGCTCCAAAAACCACTGGTTAGAAATTATACTCCTTTCGCAGATGTTATGCCTCCAAACAAAGAATTAAGTGCCTCAATTTAGTGCCAAATTATATTTGACCCTAATTTTTATTGCTATTGTGGTTCAGACAAACTACAATATTTCAATTTGTTATAGACTTAGATTCCAGGACTGTGATGCATGCCTTTATCCTTCAAGCAGAAAACCCTATGTAGGGAACAAAATCACGATGAAGCTGCTGCGACTATTGTGGGTGCTTTTGAGCTTATTGATCATAGGGAGGTATCGAAAGGAGCCTATGGCTTAATCTCTTTCAGCATTTACCTTTGTCCTTTTCCAATAGTGCCTCCTCCTCAAATAAAATGAGTGTCCAGATTGTTTGGTGGCAGTTCCTTATGCAGTTCTCCGCTGACTTTCTAGGGATCTTTGTGGGTGCCATTGTGTTTTAGTTACTCTACTTTGTCACTTTGCAGTCAAATAATTGTCCTAAGGTTCAAGAAAACTCCTCATAGAAATTGTGTGTACCCAAAGTGATGCGTTTTACATGTGAGTATGATATACAGTCACAGGCCATCATCAATCCTTTGTGTATTTCATAGAATAGCAGTATAGAGTTACGAAGGGATAGCATGCTTTGCACTAAATTTGACGTTAACTTGTCTATGGGCAATAATGATACTTTTAGGACATTTTGGCCACTGGTTTAATGACTTAATTATACAGTACCGCCTAAATTTTTTTGGAGATTGAACTACACGCCCTACACTACAAGACAGATGTGATGGGCACAGCAATTAGATGAGGGAATAGCGCTAAGCTTGTTAAAACAATGGATACAAGACTTGGCTTCAGAGTCGGTTAAGGTTTAGTGCTGTGAACAGCTATATATAAGAGCAAAGTCTGCCATAAAGAACTAAGAGATGAAAGATAGGAGATAGGGGAGCAGAGAGTAGCATATATCCATCATTTGAGATTTGCACTGAGTATTTATAGAAGAGTTTCATGCTTCTCCAGTGATTAGGGGAACTGAGTTATAAAACTTAATCTCGTGTTACAGAAACTATGGGGCCCTTGTGACACTTGTTCAAAAAAGTTTCATTTGTGAAATTCTGAAAAAGGAATGGGTTTGATTGCAAACCTTGAAAAGGCTATTAATACATTCTAAGTGGAACTCCTAAAGCATATTGAAAACTCTATAGAAAAATAACTCGAAGGAAAAAGCTCCAAAAAAATGATCTACTAAATCTAACTTTTAAACTCCTAGAAGGGCTCAACTTTAGGGAAAATACTAGATAATAATTCCATGACCAGACACATACTTGTGTAGACTTCAAATTTTTTATATGGAATACATACTCCTATGCTAAGGACTAAGTTGTCCCCAAGTTGGGGTGGAAACATAGTGAGGCATGCCAACCTTTCGTGTGCTCAGGCTCACCTCAGACAAAGTTCTATGAAGTTCAAGGTTGGGCTTGAGCTCAAGTGAGGTCAACCTGGGAAAGGAATCGAGCTGCTTAGGCTGTCCTGCGTCAAGATAGTTCCATGCTTACTTGACTTGTGGTTTGATGTGATGTGGTTCCGGAAGAGAAACATCATTGATGCTTTCTGTTCATCATTAGTGTCTTACAGTAGTTATGTTAAATAATAACTACACATGTAGGTTTGAGTGTTCAAGAGTGAGTTTGAAGGCTTCAAATGATACTATAGCGAGTTAGGAGGTCATTTTTGTAATTCTGCCATATTTTTAGGTTTTGGAGATGCCAGAAGGCCCAGAACCAAGCCTCAAAGCTGCCACACAAAAAGGAACTCTTAGGATGTGGAATTTCAGAATGTTTCAATGAGCTTTTGGCTCTCTACCTCATTTTACCTTTCTGCTTATCTCCCTGCTGCTTTTCTCTTTCTCTATGCGTTGTTCTCCTCTATCTATTACCCCTCTTTATCCATATAGCTGTCTTCTCCGTGAGGATTCAAGACCTCTAGAGGATACTAGGGTTATTTCCATTTCTTTCCCTCTCTACTCTCTTCTTGTGAATTGAAGGCCTAGTGGACTCTAGGGTTTTTTTTCCCATTTCTTCCTTCTTTCAAGAGTTCCTCCACCCATTCTTTTTGTCCCCTCTTTTCTTTTCTACTCTGTCCTCTACCCCAAAAAATGTTCAACTAAAATCTTGTGAGCTTCAGCTGATATACTGGCACCACATGTCCGGTTGATTGTTCTCAAAGTCCAGATTGATCAGATTACATTCTGATTAATGTGAGTTCGATGAAAGTTCTCTAGAACTCAAGCTAATTCACTTCTCACAAAAATGTGTGCTTGAAATCTTAAAATATATCATTTGATGACTATAGTCAGCGGCCACAATATTTCTTTTATTTGATTTTTGGTACTTGATGTGCATGCCAGATATTCGATCAAATGTCAACATGTCAAGAACCAAGTTACATCATGGTTTGAAAATCAGGAGATGGTTTTGTAAAATGTGGTTTTCTTGATACCAGATTAGATTGCGGTTTACTGCTTAGTTGTCTTCACAAAATTGGTGATTAGATTAAAAATTAAAATTGCCAGAAGCCTTGACTACAGTGTGCTGAGCTCCACGTCTCCACCTGTCACCGTGACATGACCCAAGATGTGTCGTCTTTTGATAGTTGGGAATACGGCTAAAAGAAAAATTGGAATTTGATGGCCATGGGATATTGCCTTAAATTACATCCTGAATATTAGTATCTATAACTCATGATGTGCTGAGACATTCTTTTGGCTGATGTATGATGTATATAAAAATTATGAGTTCTTCTGAAAATCTGGTTGTGTTAATGAATGCATACAATCTTGTTTCTACTGCATTCTTTTTTTTTTATTTTGCTTCTCATTTTGGCAGTTTGATAGATTATCATTAATATGGGGAAAGCCACGTCAGCCACCCTTGGGGCCTGAAGAGGTAAAAGCTGCCCTTTTATGTTAATTTTTTTATGATAAATCTCTTAATATATGTTTTGTTTTGGGTCATACATCTGATATTGATATATCTACTCAGTCCACCCCTCGGTTTATTGGATTTTGGACCTAATTAGGTAATGTGCTTTTGATCAATTCCTATGTCGTGTTCCGTTGCCACTTGCCACTAGCGTTTTGTTGCTTTTACACTCATCTAAAGTTGACTCTCTAGTACTCAATATTGTTTGGAGGACCAAAAATAATTAGATTAGTTTAATTCTCAAATTTTAATTTTTCCTGTGATTTTAGTAGTGAAGAAACTTTGTTATTATCAAACGTATTTTGCACCAAAATGGAACCTACAAACATAAATACATCAAGTGCAAGCTTGTCTGTCGTTACTAACTTTTGTTACCATGTATAGAATGTAGCAATGTTTATTTCAAGATCGTGCATTGACAGTGATATTTGTTGTATATTCAAATCCTGGTTTGTTTTAGATTGAGTTACCAATACCAAGAAGTTGTATAGAGTGAGAGACTTCTTATGATTTCTTGTTCTGTTAATATATGCATTGGAAGGCACAATTTTTGTTTCGATGAAGTAGCATATGACTTTTTGACCAAATTACAGCCAGATTTTTGGGTGCAAACTATTTTTATGAAACATTGGCTGAGCTATGGAAGCATGTGACGGGTCGGATTAATAATAATATATTTAGGATTAACTGATCATCAACCTAATGTGTGACATTAAGCTGGCCTTGACCTTGACCTTGACCATAATAAGTTCCATGAACAATCTCACTGGCCACCACCCTAATTCAAGATGAATTTTGATGGCATCTTGAAGCTTATTGCGTATTTCATCTACCAAGAAAATCGTTCGTTTGGTTTATTGAAGCAGTGCGGTTTCCCAGGGAAAACGATTATATAATTGCTATATGTGTCATTTTATCATGGAAAGACCAATGTGGCTGCATGCACTAAAGATTGGTGGGACTTGTCTCTTATTTTAAAGTGAATTTTCAGTGGGCCACTTTCTTGGATTCTGAAGGGCGAGTAATGGATTCAAAAGCTTTAAGAAAGAGAATATTTTATGGGGGAGTGGAGCACAGCCTGCGGAAAGAGGTTCTTTTTTGTGATACTGTAACTTTGTTTGTTGTTAGGTTTAGCATGAATTTATGTTTCAAAGCTATGAATTATGATTGCAGGTTTGGACATTCTTGTTGGGGTACCATGCTTATGACTCAACATACGCAGAGAGGGAATATCTTGTATCAATTAAGAAGTCACAGTATGAGACCATAAAAAACCAATGGCAGGTCTGTGATTAATCTTGGTATGTCTGCATATATGTACTTAGTTGGTAGTGATTGGGCACACTCTAATGTATATAATAAGGGGTTGTTCCCTGTTGCAAAGTAGTAAACTTGTCAATCTAACAATCGTGGTTGAGGGTTTGATATGTGGACCACATGATTTGTGCAAATAGTGCCAAAGTCTAGTTCTCAGTCCATCGCTCTCAATACCTTGATTAACGAGGATCAAACTGAGTAATGACCCTTCAGACTATAGTCAATCTTTTATGTACAAGTCTGACTGGCTGTCTAAGCTAAATCGAAGCTGTTTTAAGCTTGGCTCATGAGCTATATTTACAAACTAAATGAGGTGACAAGGAGACCCCAATTTTGCCATATTTGATGGCTGTGAGACCCATCTGAATGCAAGGTGGTATCCCATTTCAGTTTCAGAGGTTGATGTACCAGACATGTTATTTCTTTTTGGGATTATGCCGATTTTCTTGTGTCATAGGAATTTAGTACTATTTTGTTTTTCTCCACCTTTCTATTCTTTTTTTTTTTTTTAAATGTGGAATCCAAGTTACGTATGTTGTTATTGGACCCAATCTAAGATGGTTTGAAGAGCAAACTCAGTAAAGATAATAACAAATTCCTGGACATTACAACTGTGTCTAAATGGATTATGTTGAGAATACTACAGCAAACTTAGTGACATTGTACATCCATTTATATTTGCACTCTACTTAGAGAGTAGATACTAGATCGTCGTCTTAGATGACAGATGATTTGAAACATAAAAAATGGTGTATCATGTGATTTTCAAAGTAAGTTAAGCATTTGTACAGCTACAATGCATGAGGGTTATGAGATTTTTAAGAGGTGGTTTCAAATTGTCACTTGGACATGTTAGACTGGATACCAGGTTTTCAGTTTACATTTCCTGAACATCTGAATTTCTAGTCATGCTCAACTTATTATTTTAGGTCGTATTGCCCGATACTGTCCCATGACTCCGCCACCGATGTGCCTCAGAACCCTCCGAGTCGATGGCTGATACCGTGACCTTGAACCTTGATTAGAAAGGAAGTAGGGTATCCAGACATTCTTGAACACCAATTTTTTTTGTTTTCTTTTTTGGAATTTCTCATGAGAACTGAAATCTCAGACCTCTCAGCAAACTGGGTTTATATGGTTTACTTTGAAAGAGCTGTTGTTCTCTTGATGGCAAACTAAACTAGGAAGCGTAATGTATGCATATTTGTTTCTTCAGAGCATCTCGCTGGAACAGACAAAAAGATTTACAAAATTCAGGGAGAGGAAAGGTCTTATCGAGAAAGATGTGGTATGCATGAAATTGGCACACTTTCTATTGAGGTTTAAGTAAATTATGTCATAAGATGATGTGATTTAAGCACTAAAACTGTTAATGATGTTTCCTTCCTGTTTTTAAGGTAAGGACTGACAGGTCACTCTCATTCTATGATGGGGATGATAATCCAAATGTAAATCTTTTGCGAGATATATTGCTAACGTACTCGTTCTACAACTTTGATCTTGGGTACTGTCAGGTAATTAACTTCTGCTTTCAGTAATTATTCCTTGGTGGTTCTAATGACTTGATGGGTTGAAATTATATTTAAGTTCCATATGTGCTGTGACTTTCCAAGAAACAGAAAAGCAAAATATCAAGATGTTCTATATATGCAATGTATCAAATTTCTTGGGCTTCTTTCCTCCAGCCTTGAGTGGAAAATTGTACAACAAAGCAAAATTTAGTGGAATTAGGGATAAGCTTGAAATTTCTTGGAGATATGAAAGTAATGTATAGCTAGACGATAGTAAAAGCTCAATATATGGTTGAGTATGTCAGGCCTACTCATCTTTCCACGTTCAGATGTCAAAATGTGAAGATCATGCCATGAAAATTGAGTTCTCCAAATGGAACAAATAAACACATATTTTTGAATTCTTAGGTTTCAATTTCTGCTAAGGAATGACCCCTTGGTCATTCTCAATTCCTGGGAGTTGTAAATCAAAGAAATTTTTGGAAACTGGGACCATCCGACCATCTGGTATTGATACATTTTAACGTAGACTTGTAAAATTGTGATGATAAGCAGTTGCAATCAGGAGAATTGTCTATCTGATCCTACATAAATGAAATAGCTAATGCTATGAAGCATCAGTGTGCATTTTCTTTGTGTCGCTAAACATAGTTCCACATATCGCTTCCACCATTGTATTTAACTTGCAATAATATCTTCTTTGCTTTTTCTTTTTACTTTTCCTCTTTTTAAAGAGAAGCGATGATATGAAATTTTTGTAATGGATGGTTACCCTGGAGCTGGGCCATTTTTATTCCTTACCTTGGATGGGACTAAAAATTTCTCATGCCCACATTTCCTTGCATGACATGATATCTTTCCAAAGTTGTGTATTCGGAGTTTTGTTTGCTTGCTAATAAAAACTTTTTTTTTTGTTTTGTCATCATCTTATAGGGTATGAGTGATCTTTTGTCGCCAATATTATTTGTCATGAACGACGAATCAGAATCATTTTGGTGTTTTGTTCATCTGATGGAACGGTTGGGACCAAATTTCAATCGTGACCAAAATGGCATGCATACTCAACTTTTTGCAGTGTCAAAGGTTCTCTCTCTCTCTCTCTACATGTGTGTCTGTGTGCCCATCCCATGGTTAGAGAGGATACATGTACTTTTGAAATCTAAGATAAATATTACAGGACGCACAGAGAAGTCTTTTCGTGGTTATTTTACATTAGTATGTTGCTTGCATGTTCTATTTATGTTTTGTCCAGTTTCAAGAGTAAATGGTGATTAGGTATTCAATATCAATTGAACATCATGCTTCAAAATATTGGCCAAGTCCGATACAACACGACCGAGTCATATTCGACTTGACCACCTACGATCCAATGGTGGTTCACAATACACATATATCACGAATCTCACTTGAATTGCCATTAACTCTGATACAACTCGATAGAATCAGTGGAACTTGGATGCAACTCGGTTCACTCGGACAAACATGTAACCTGCTTGGACGATCTTTGATGTAATCGTAGAGATCAATCACCCACATTAAAAAAACAACAAACAAACCACCAAAAGAAGTTAGTGTAGGAACAAGAAAGAAAAAGAAACCATATGAAAAATGAATATGTCTCTTTGAAACCCGAATGCAAAGTTGAATCAAAGCAATTATTCAGTCACCCGCAGTATATCCTACAAGAAGAAGAAGGAACTGAAAACATACCTGCAAAATCAAGCCACTGCGAATTTGACTTCCAACTTCTTGTAACGATCGCACACCAGGTACACTCCTCTACTTTGATCGCGAAGGGATTTTTCCTCTCAGGTGATTTCCCTCTCGTTTTCTCTATATGTTACTTAATTGCAGAATGAGTTTTGATGATTACATATGTTTTCAATGCTTGTACAATGCTTAATGTGACCTTACCATAGGACTAATTCCTGAGGCTGAGGGATTCAAGGTGGAATTTCTATGGTGCCTCTTACAACATTTTTGCATGCAGTTCTGCACGAGCTATTTTTGAGATTAGTATCGTTATGTTTGTTGTTTATATGTGTATTTTTCCTTCACATCTCTGCACAACTATTAAAGGTCATTTGTGTCCCCTTCTCTTGAACTGTGAATGTAAGTTGGCATCTTAGTTGTCTTAGCTCTCAATTGCTTTGCGAGACAGGTTTCTCGTTCAAGTTTTAACTTACTTTTCACTGTTGTTGTGGCAGCTGGTGGAGTTGTTAGACACTCCTTTGCATAATTATTTTAAGCAGAATGACTGCTTGAATTATTTCTTCTGCTTCCGGTGGGTTCTTATACAATTTAAAAGGCAAGTGAGACAGTTACCTGGATTAATTAGTTAGTAGTCATCTTTATATATGGATATAAACCAGGTTGCTCCCCTACCCCTCTTTCCCCATTTTTGCCCATACAGTTTTTTATGAATAAATCATTTTGTCATGAAGCTTAGTCATTGTTTGGTAAACTGTCCCATCAAAAAACTTGTTTGGTAAACTGGAAATTTTGTTACTTCTTTAATAGCTGCACTGGAGTTTATAGAGCTTAAATTTAAAACAGCATTGAGTGTGTTTGAGAGTTGGTGAAATGTCTGGGGTGCTCGGTCTTGTATTTTAGACCTTTCCACATAAATATTTTTATACTTACTAAGTGATGAGTAGTTGAATGTGATGCTCTAATTCAGCAAACCACAGAATTTTTTCCAGTTTTCAACAGGGAATTGGTTGTCAAGCAGCCCCTAATCAACATATATGAAACTAACTTTCTCCTGCAAGGAATACGACATGATATAGCACTTCTCTTTTTCAGTGATTCATGGTTAGGATCTACAGTGAAAATGTGGTTTTGGTACATAGTTTAAGTCATCTTGGAAATAGAAACTTATCGGGAACAGAAACGTTGCGGAAACAAAATGGAAACAGAAAAAGTTTGAATTCTGATTCCCAAACCACAGAAGAAACATCCCGAAACACTTGCTTCATACTAAAACATTTGAATTTCCATTGTTTTTAGTTTCCACAAGAGCCATCTGTATGCTGTAAGAAAGAATGTGAAATTTTGATATTATCTTCTGAATTCTTCGGTTTGTTCCATGGCTAAGTTCCCTCGTGTTTTTCAGGGAATTTGAATACGAAAAAACAATGCGTTTGTGGGAGGTGTTGTGGACACATTACTTGAGCGAGCACCTGCACCTGTACGTATGTGTCGCAATCCTGAAAAGATATGGCAGTAAGATAATGGGGGAGCAGATGGATTTTGATACACTCCTGAAATTTATCAATGAGCTTAGCGGTTGCATTGACCTCGATGCAACCCTCCGGGATGCAGAGGCTTTGTGTATATGCGCCGGTGAAAATGGTGCAGCTTCCATCCCTCCTGGAACTCCACCTTCATTGCCTTTGGAGGATGTTTCATTTTATCCTCAACAGGATGACGATGATGTCTTGTGAAGATTATCTCTACTTGTGGACTAAATTTCTCGGTTCTCTCCTCTCGGTTGTAACCGAAAAGTCAATGATTTTTGAGGCATTGTAAGTTTAGACTAAACAAATTTCCGAGTGAAATCTGTTCGATTGGTCTCGCTATCAGATGCCTTTTTGAATTCTGTGTCTTATCCTGTATGGAAAAATTTACGATATTTCAAAAAATTAAATTAGAATAAGTTCCGATTTAATGAGGTTTGATATCTTCGATGGACCCTGGGATCGATTTTATGGATTCCTGTTAAACATTTTCCTGGTGTCATCATCTACGACAATTTTAATGGATTCCATAAAAGTTGATGTTCATAAATTAAACATTTGATTTGCTCTACTGTTTGTGCAGTATTTAAAACGTTTCCAAAAAAAAATTCTTTTAATACATTCAATTTTTTAAAATTCTCCTTATCTCTAAGAATGTAGCAATTATTTACGAAAAACTCTGAAATATTTCACAATTGGCCTTTTATAATTCCATAATTCATACTAGGTAAGTAGTGCTTTAAGGCACAATACAACGTAAGTGATAAGTGATGTATTTGAAGAAAAATTTAATGTGAATGATTTTGAGGAATATTGGTGACTGTTGGATGAATTTATTTGAGACCGTCGGATGTATTTATTAAAATATATTCTATTTTATATTGTAGAATGGTTTTGTGAGTTCCAAGTCGAAGGTAAACTCTCTTCATTGGATGGACGACGTATGATTTATTTATTTTCGTGTTAATTGATCTGTTATATTTTTGAGTTATAATATTTTTGGGTTAGTATCCAAAACTAACACTCCTGCTGTTCTTTACTTTAAGACAAAGAAAACCAAAACTTGATGCTTAATAAATATCCCCAACAGAGAGACTAGTGCACGTACTGGTGGATTTTGTGCCTCGCATGCATTTGGGCATATGAGAAAACTTAGAGAGTGACATTGTTATGTTTGACTTTTGACAATAATTTAACAAGTTGTGTCTGTCGTTTGTTACCAGAAATTAACAATTTTAGGATGTGTTTGAATGACATATCGATCTGGATTGAAAATTATAAAAAATATTCTTTGTATTCAACTCAAACCTACCTATTATTGGATTGATTAAGATTTAACGACTACATCTTATTATGTCTAGTGTTTAGATAACACATAAGCATTTTTGCAGGACTTATGAAAAATAATGATGGAATATAGTATCAATGATTATTTTGTCTCTAACCTATCTAATCTACCACTCTTTAGTTTATAAATTAGTCTTTGACTAATTTTAAATAAATTTTTCTTATATGTAATTTTTAAAAATATTGTAATTTCATATCTTCTAGACGGGTGTTCATATATTAAGAGAACTATTAAGAATTAATTCAAGCTCTCATTAATTAGTGATTTTATTATTAGTTGTTAATTAGTCGTAGTCTAAATGAAATATTATTTTATTAGAGTTAGTTTATTATTTAAATTAGTTGTCTTGTTAGAGAAGATGTCTTTGTTTTCTGGAGGTATGTCGGCAAAGAGTCTTGCTTTAACAAAACAAATTTGTTGAAAATTAAAAAAAAATCATATATGTGAAAAAATAGGAGGAAGAGACGAAGTAGAGAGATAGATAAGAAGAGAACAAAATAATTTGGTCATTTGCATTAGTTATCATGTCTGGTAAAAAAAACTCAACCCTTCTTAGGTTTCAGTTAACCATGTAGGTGGATTAAAATTAACTTTTTAAATTGAGTAAGGTTGAACTTCGAATAAAATTTCAAATATATTTTTTACTTACTAATCATAGAATATATGGATCCTATCCTCTACTTTAAACATGTTCCTATTCTTTACTTTGGGACGGGGAAAAGCAAATTTTTTGCCACGTCTGCATTAGGGCAAACTTAGAAAGTGATATTTTTATATTTAACACTAATCTATCCTATTTATTTCTTATACTATCTAATCTGTGTTACTTTTGAATTTATGACGTATCGTGTACTCTCATTATGATATAAAAAATTAACGCTCCTATTCTATAGTTGTGGGGTAATATAAGCCACGAGTATCCCATTTAATTGATATAGTATAAAGAAAATATCTAAATATTTGTTTTTATTTTTTATTTTATTTTTTGATTTGATATACTATGAAGAAAAACTTTGTTATAGTCATTTTTGTACATTCAATGTACTCTACGAATAGAGAAATACATAGAGTTGAACAAAATAAAATAAGAAGTTAAATAAAATAAAAAGTTAAAAGATTTTGTTGAAATTATTTGTTGGAAAATTTCCCCAAAAGTTAATCACAGATTCTTTTCTCCATCGGAACAAAAGGATCGTTACGCTCATTATTAAAAAGATGAAATATAATCAACGTATATGATTGAGTTGTCTATCAAAATTTTTATTTTGGTACCGTCTTGACATTTATCATTTTTATGAGTATTTTTTTTATTGTTGTGAGTATATTTATTACTGTTATAGTATTGAATTAAAAGTGATAAATACACCCAAAAAATTATAAAAACACCGATAAAAATAAAAGTATTTGCCACAATAATAAGAAAAATGCACCCACAAAAGTGATAAATCACAAAAAAAAAAAATTATTGTAAAAACATCTACAAAATTATAAAAATACCGATAAAAATAATAAATTTTAGAGGTATAACACCGATTTATTTTATTTCGTACCGTAGTTTTAAGTTCTTTTTTTTAATTTTTTTTTGTGATGTGAATTAAGTAACTTCAGAATTTTATAAGGACAATCTGATTGGCTAATATGGGTCATAGTCGTTTGACTTTTAATTTCACATATTATACAAAAATTATACGATTGTGATACAAATCTAAAATAACAAATACAATATAACCCATCTGAAAAATGCTATTTGAACCTTGCTGTATACATTTTATTTGTTGACATAATGAATTATAGTTATTAAATTAATAATGAATCTCAATTAATAATAGAGTCTATTTTCAATCTAATAACAAAAAATAATAAAATCAACAAATAAGGTGTGGTGTATATAACAATGGTCTAATCCCTCCTTGGCGATTCACATTCATAACCAATCCTAAAAAAGAAGGATTAGCTTTTGATTGGTGAGTCAATATCGGTGGATTGTTCACATATCCCTAATAAAAAAAAGTCAAACATTGATTTTCAAAACTTTGGAGCAATCTCCATGTATTGATCCAAAGAAAATCCACATAACTTAAGAAATTTTTAATTTTAGGCACGACGACTTAGTAGAGTGAAAAAAAATGTGATTCATAAAGTCTTGCGTCTCTTTTCATTATACTCTTATTTTTTGGAAATAAGGAGTACTACTGCAGATATTTATGCTTCATTTGATATGATGAAAAAATAAAAAGACGAAAAGTTAGAAGGATAAATAAAATATCATGTTTGCTAAAAAAAAAAAAAATATGAAAGATGGAAAAATGGATGCATTAAATTTCTTTTCAATTCACCAAAATCAATCATTCCAAAATCGAAAGGAAAGTGGATAGAAAATTAATTATTTATGTTGAGATATATCTTATTTGTTTATATATTATGTATATATTAATTTTATATAAAAATATAATGACAAAATATATATATTTTTAAAAAATTTTAAAAAAATTAAAAAAATAAAATTTTAAATTAAAAAAAAATTCATCTTAACTAGGGGTGAAAATTTTCGACTCAACATGATGACATAACTCGAACTCGACAGGAATTTTATGACACGAACTTGATTATAATTCGACACGAACTTGAAAATGACCTGACACGCGAACAAGAAATATAAAAGGCTCATAATTTTATGATTCAACAAGAATCTGACACGACATGACTCAATTGTCAACCCTAATATTAGATTAAAAAATTTTTAAAAAAAAATTAATTATTTTTATTTTTCATTCATCGAATCAAACACAAAGTAAGAAAAATGTATTATTTTTTTTTCTATCCTTGAAGACTAGAAAGTATATTCCTGTTATTTTTTATTTTTTCTACTAAACAGAACATTTAAGGTAACCCTGATCCTTTACTTAGACTATAACAAGTCGGAATACAAATTCGGCCAAATAAAACGGGGAATTCGAGTTCGAGTTTATGAGAGTTAGGGCAGTAAAAAAAAATAGATCTGACAAGGTTTTAAAATCACAAGACAACTCAGTTTAGGGCTAAGATCGAAATCGAGAAAGGAGGTTTTTTTTGTCAAACTGTGGGCGGTCACAATCACAAAAGACTGGTTTTTTTTTCTCAGTTAACTTATAATCGACCCCATCTATAGTTGGTTTGAAAAGTATTGTCACATTCAAATATTAGTTCTTCATATAAAGGGTAAAATGGGTAGTTTACATTGATAAATTTGATCGAATGAAGAACCTATTTTGTGTCTTCACATCTTTTTTTTTTATGTGATTTGGTCTAGTTTTAAAAATTAAAAAATGAATTTTATGAGAATATATAAAAAAAAAAAATTAGTAGGGGTTGTTATTGTAATTATAATAATTATAGTATGTTTTACTGTTCTTCGTGTTGTGTGGTGTACCTCGTCCCATCCCCATTTTCCTATAAAAACGTACAAAAAAGTTCAGTCAGCAGGAGGAGGCGTTAAATGTGTGCTGTCGTCACGCCGACAAGACATATGTGGTTCATAGCTCACGAGATATTAATTTAACGTGGTATATATCAAGATATCATATAACGATAAAATGATTCCAAAAGGAATTTAATAATATTTTAATCAGCGTGCGTCCCTCTACTTTATCCATTTTAACGTGACGTCTAATAATTTATTTTTTATTACAAAAGAACTACGACACATCTCCTTAAAAACCAAAGTGAGACAATTCCTATATAACCCCCCCCCCCCCCACACACCCTAATAATTGATGTGTGGGACTTGACTACGGTATCGGAAACAAAAAATTTGATACCATAATTTTAAATTTTTAATATTTTTTTGGGTATTTTTAAGATAAATTTTTTTTAGGAATTTTTATTGCTGGTGTGGTAATTATTTTTATCACTTTTTTTTTGGTATAATAGTTATAAAAACATCTACAACGATAATAAAAATATCCACAAAAATGATAGATGTCAATATAATGCCAAAATTTTAATGTTATTCGCACTTAATTTAATAATTTTATTTGGTGATATGATGGATTATAGTTACTAATCTAATGATATAGAATAATAAAAGAAAAGTGTTATACTAATTAAATTGATATTCAAATTTTGTATCTCAAATCAATATAGGTAGTTAGATTAGTGAGGTCTACTAACTCCACTAAATATTCAATACATGAAATTTTAATACATCACTTGAAATACAAGATTTGGTAAATTTTTTGTGCAGCATAGCTTTATCCTTAATAAAATCATCAAATAAAATCACTAAATAAAATTCATGTAGCGTTACTCAAAATATTTTGTTGGTAGCATAAACAATTCCTTGACACATGTATAAATGGTTGAAAATTGTATTGAAAATCTAAAAGGGAATTTGATGCAATTGAAAATATGTCTAGTATTAGAGTTAGTGATTTAATTTATACATATATAAAAGTAAAATAACGATTAAGATTAATTTAATTTTCATTCAATTTCATTTAACGATATAAAATTTATTTCAAAAAAACTTTTTTAACTTAAAAAATATCATTTTTTCTGCATGACCCAAAATATCACATAAATCAAGTAAAACCCTTGTCAATATCATACAATTCTAGTAATTCACACGTAACACAAGGGTTGTAATTTGGGCGGGTTAATTCGAATTCAATCAGAGCCTAACTCAAAAAAACAGGGCTTGGATTAGAATTTTTAATACTTGGGTTGGACCTGGACAAAAAAAATCTAACCCAAATTGAATTTTGGCAAACCTTGGGTTGAAGCCTCGGGTTCAACCCGAATATTAAAATCGGATTCTACATGTTCACCTTAATTTTAAATTATGTAATTAAATGAAAATAATAATAATAATTTCAAATATAAATATTACACAATTAATACTTAATTTTAGGCATTATAAAATATCTTCGTGCACGAAATTATCACTAGTTTATACTTTATTAATCTTATTCGATTAGTATTAGACTTGTATGTCATGACTTGACATACATTTTAATGCAAATGACTTGTAGAGTTATTCATTACGTTTTTAAAAATATCACTTTAGAATAAAAAATGTCAAGATAATTATAATTTAATATAATTTATCGATCAATCGATATTTTGAATCATTTAGACGAAATACAATGGTGAAAAGTGCACAAATTATCATCTTGTGAGATTGTGAGTTGCGTGTCAATTGGGTCATTGTAATCTAACAATTAATGCAAAGGTACCTTAGCCAAATCCCTTATCCTTTTAGTTAAAAAAAAGGTTGTATTATTCTAATTAAGGACAAAAGTTTGGTGTTAAATTCAAAGCTAATGTTGGCCTATTTTTTTCCTTTCTGAACTAAACATGATATAGTATCTGGTTGGTAGGTGGAGAGTGTGACTTTTTAAAACATTTTTTTGACTTTTAGTTATTACATAAAATCAAAATTGTACCACCATTCGTGAGCCATACGTATGAGTTAAATAACAATATTTCTTATAACATTTGGGATTAGAAGTTTTACAAAATCAACCGTTGAAGCGTTGTTATTTGCATTTAGGATTGTTAATTATATAATTAACGTGAACACAACATGAATTCGAAAACAATACAAATAGCTAACACAAAATAATGAATAGGTTGGTACTAGTATGTATATGAATAGTTTGTATATTTGGTGTCTAATATTGTATGATGGAAATATATTTTTTATTTCTTTTTTTAGTTTTACAATAATGGATTTACAATTAAAATTTTTCTATTTGATTTTGTTGGAATTTTAATTGAGTAGTTTTTTATTTCATGAAAAAAATTATTTTCATCGAAATAAAGAGTGATATGATAAGTATCAACAATAAATCTAATAGTTTATTTGGTATGCTGGAAAAGAGGGTTGGATGGAAAGAGGAGAATGATAAATAGAATGGAAAGAGCCATTTTTCATTTTTGCTTAGAGTGGAAAATAAGAGGAGAATGAAAGTGAGAGGGAAGAAAAATTCCTTCCACCCACCGAAAACAATCCATCCAATTTTGGGCAGAAAACAGCTGGAATAGAGAACTTTGACCATTAAAACACTATTTTTACTATTTTGTCCATCCAAGGGAATGTTATATAAATGTCATTAATATGTGTAATGATAGGTGATACAAATGTTGGAAAGATTTATATAATAAAGTTTAACACAATTCAAATATTAAAAGATAAATAAAATAATTTTTATTTTTCGTGGTTGAGATCTCTTTAAATTTTACTTTAAAATGAATCCGATGACTAATATTAACATCTCAAATTTAATAGGGAAAATAAACCCTTAAAAGAATGTTTGAGGTAATTTTTTAAAAATGTTTCTAGGACTTTTAATTTCTCATAAATATTTTTAAAAAAAAGTAATGTTTAGAACTGTCCAACTACCACTACCACTACCACCACCACTATCCACAACTACCACTACAATTGTCGTCACTCATAACTTCCATTACTACCATCATCACCTAAAAATTACCACCATCATCGTTGCGACCCACAGTTGCCATCACCATGATTGTCGTCATCCACTATAATCATCATTGTTTTTTCACTATCACCACCGCTTACTTCCATTACAACCAGTGTTTAATTTTTTATTTTATTTTTTTTATTTGTGATTTAATTTTATATATAAACACAAATATGTTTATTGTTGATCATTTTTTTATTATTACGTGCCTTCAGGCTTTAGACACAAAAAATAACTAATACAATTATAAATTAGATTAACATATATTTTATTTTTTTTATTTTTCTCTCATATCAAATAATAAAAAATTTATTTCTTCAACTTTTTATCTATCATACCAAATAAAAAAGAGAGAAAATATTTTTCCTTTTATCCCTCGTATTTTTTCATATTTTCTATCAAACGGATCATTAGTGATAAGTTATTTTTTTAATTATAACTTAATTGGATATAAAATTATACCTTCATGAAATTATTTTATTACACGCGCTCCTGCGGTCGTGAAAGTCAGTTCGACTTATTCAACCACAAATGTATACTTCAAGCAGTCTCAATCATAGAAAGCAAGTGTAAATGACTTGGAAATGACTCAAAACGCCTAGGAATTATAAGCTTTTCCTATTCCAAATCAGAAAAGAGCTTCGCTACAGTGAGGGTACCCTCATGATAGTTATGCTACAACCGCCTCATCATAATAGCAAGTTTTCAAAAATCTTGCTAGATTAAGTCATTATTATTTTTGGGAAAGTAAGATTATGTCATTATGAGGAAGGTATGCCTTTTTCTTCATGGCGTGAGTATAAGTATTTTTGACATAAAGAGTTAAAGAGTTGTCTATGATACCCACAAAAAAAAAAAAAATTCGGTATTGTATATTTATTTATCATATTTATAATTTTTTTTATTATTATTGGTGTTTTTACCATTATTGTGGTACCATAAAAAATAATAAGAAAAATAGTTATCATAACAGTGATAAAATACTCACAACAGTGATAAAAATACTCACAAATATGATAAATCATCTACAAAAGTGATAAATTTTTTGATTGTAGAGATACAATCCTAAAATTTTTTTTTATCGATACTGGAGTCAAGTTCATGAGAAAAAATAATCAATACATGTGATATTTGATGTTGACTTAATTATTTTCATAAATAATGACATTTGTATTAAGGGCGTCAATTAAGTCATCTCACATTGAATAGGAATATATTATTTAAATATAATTTAAATAAATAATCTAGAGACCTATCCAATTAGGTTGATGGATAAAAAGTAGATTCTATTTAATATTAAAACTCATAAATAATTAAACGATTGCATTGAATTAGGTTTAAGATTAAATTCCCAAATAAGTCATTATAATTGTGTCGTTTTGGATTATGTTTTGTGTTTTATGTTCTTGTCCTTTTCGTATAATCCTTGGATATGAAGTCACAATTCATTAATATTTTTGTCGATTATATCTATTATATATATTTTTAATAATTTAAAGAATGATTGGTCCTTATCATTGAAAAATAAAAAAAATTAATTAATTATATATCACTTCATATAATACTAGATCAAAAAAGTAAAAATTTAGATATTTTTGGACAATACAATTTAATATGTTATCGCGTTTAACAATTATGCAATCCATTTATTATTGATTTCAACTAGTCTTGTCATTTTTAAGCGTGTTTCACATGTTCTATTTCAAAACTTGGCATCTCTAATTTGATTTGTATGGTTCAACAAGTTTGTTTGAATACTTAATTAGTTGTTCATCTCAACACAACCATCGACCCTTTGGTCTAATGATATTCTTTGCCTTCTTGAGATCAAGAGTTCAAGTCCCTTTTCTCCCTCCTCTCCCAAATAAAAAAAAAAAAAAAAATCAACACACGATTTAATTTCTCTCACTAATTGTGTGCATATTTTTTTTTCTCTCTGTCATTTTCTCAAATTTTCTTAAAAATAAACTAGATTTGTCTTAAAAAAAATTAAGTGCTCAGGTCGGTGGAGCCCACTAAATTCACGTAGTATTTTATCACTGGTTAGTGATACCTGGTGTTATTGATAATGTGATATAACCACTTTATCCAATAGAGCTGAGAGAGTCCACGAAAACCAAATGAGGACGTTCCCACTCTATCTTTTTCCAACATCAGATGTTAACTTCTCTTCGAAAACCCCGCAAATACAGCCCAATATAAAAGCCATGTTAAGCGTGTTTAAGACGTCTATAAGTTCAATGCCTTATCAGAAAAAAACTATATAAGTCCGTCTACTTTTCAGATTATAAGTAGGAGAACTTATCACCGCCCCTCGGCTCATTTTATAGATCAATATCGTCTCGCACTATTTATTTTGTCTGATACCAATTCGGGGTTCTTTGGTTCTTCGCTTCACATCTCTCTCTCTCTCTCTCCAAATCCCTAGTAGAGAGAGAAACGCAGTAGCAAAACTCTCTACAAAACCCTCGGATCTGCTTTCTTCTTTGGTTCCTTCAAGGTAAGGTGCGAAATCCTTCACCTATTCATAAATTGATCTATATACCTATGTATATATGTAAATATAGATATATAGATAGATTGATGTATACATATATATATATATATATTCTACACATACACGTACGTGTACTTACATGCATATATATGTTTGTAGGTAATTTGATTGTAAGGTTTTGGGAAAGTGAAGAATTGGGAGTGAGGACTCCATTTTCTGGGTTTTTGTTGACGTTGCTTTATTTTCTGTGTTTGTATTGAAAATTTATTTGTTTAGTGGTTTATTAATTAATTCGTTAAAAATTTTGGACAGATGTCGTCGCTGAGCAGAGAACTTGTATTTCTGATACTTCAGTTTCTGGATGAAGAGAAATTCAAAGAGACAGTTCACCGGTAGTTTTTTTTTTTTTTTGCTTTTTAGTTTTCTCTGTTATAGATGTATTCAAGATCATGTTTGTGTTTATTGGAAGAAAAAATGAAGGAAAATGAGAAGAATCCAAAATTGATGTTAGCCTAAATTCGCTTCCAAGTGGATTAGTTGTTGATTGATTGAACACCTAAATCAGTTATTTGATTTTGATCCTCTTCGTTTCAGAAGATTCTTAGTGACTTGTGTTTTTTGTTTGGTTGCTAAGAAAAAGGAATGAAAAAGTAAGAGATAGAAATTCGGAAGCCACAGAATTTTGGATCCAAGGAGACTCAAACCTAGTTTAAAGTAAATTGAAAATAACTAGGGAGCTTAGAAACATCATAGTCATTTTAAATTTAATTTGTTTTTATGGTTCATCTTTCAGCAACCAAATTGGTCTTATATTACTTATGATTTTGGCTTTTTTGGGGTTGTTATTGATCTACTTACTTATATGTTGTTTATTCATGTGCTGGAGATTGGAGCACGAGTCTGGGTTTTTCTTCAATATGAGGTATTTCGAGGAAATGGTGACGAATGGTGATTGGGATGAGGTGGAAAAGTATTTATCTGGGTTTACCAAGGTTGATGATAATAGGTACTCAATGAAAATTTTCTTTGAGATTCGAAAGCAGAAATACCTTGAAGCCTTAGACAAGTAAGTCATGACTTGAAGTAATTGTATGTATATTACATGTCTGATTACCTTGGCATTCAGTTCAAGTCTCTGGTGGCTAATTTTATTTGTAGGAAGGATCGTGCCAAAGCTGTTGATATTTTATTGAAGGACTTGAAAGTGTTTTCGGCTTTTAATGAAGACCTTTTTAAAGAAATAACACAGCTTTTGACTTTGGAGAACTTTAGGTATGGAAGAACTTGTCCTCAAGGATTGTTTTTTCATTGACTCAACCTTAATTATCTTCTTTACATATATTTTCATGGTTTAAATGTGAATATATGATGAATTGCAGAGATAATGAGCAGTTATCTAAGTATGGAGACACTAAGTCTGCTAGGGGTATAATGCTTGCTGAACTCAAGAAGTTGATTGAGGCAAACCCCCTATTTCGTGATAAGCTAAACTTCCCTAGTTTGAAGAACTCGAGACTGCGGACATTGATTAATCAAAGGTTACTGTCTTATGGTTGTGTAGGGTTGAGTTTGTGGCTTTGTGGGGTTGAGTTCTTCATTTTTTGAGTTAAGTTTTGTCTTGACATTCATCTGTGTTGTTTTGCAGTTTGAATTGGCAGCATCAGCTTTGTAAAAATCCGAAGCCTAATCCCGACATAAAAACCCTCTTTGTAGACCATTCTTGTGGACAGTCACAGCCGAATGGTGCACGGGCTCCATCCCCTGTAACTCATCCACTAATGGGTGCTGTTCCCAAGGCAGGGGGGTTTCCATCTCTGGGTGCTCATGGTGTAAGTGAAAAGAAGTGAGAGTCATTTTATTTGAAGCAATTTATTTGAACTTCCCTCTGAAGCTTGACTTTAATCTTTGTTTCTTAAGCCATTTCAGCCGGCACCTGCTCCTCTGCCAACATCTCTTGCTGGATGGATGGCTAATCCATCTCAGGTGCCTCATCCTTCAGCTTCTGCTGGGCCCATTGGTTTCACTGCACCTAATAATGCAGTTACTCATGGTATGAGTGGTTTTCTGCTCGGTCTATCTGGAGCAGTTTTTTTGTTGTATTTTGAGATGTGGCGTGACCGAGTAAATACTCGGAGGTGCTTATGATATAACTCAATTTTCATTCCATATTCGAGCCTTTTCTTTCTTTGAATTCTTTGATCATGTAGGAGCTATATTAAAGCGCCCTAGGACTCCTCCTACAAACAACCCAGCCATGGACTATCAAACGGCTGATTCTGAACATGTGTTGAAAAGATCAAGACCTTTCGGGATATCTGATGAAGTACGGCAAAACCATCCTATTTTCTTTATTTCTGGCGGACTTGATTGATGGAAGTTGCTCTATTTCTAAAAGTTTGTAGTTTTTTCCTGTTAAGTTTGTAAAATATCTTCTTTGCCTGTCTTCAGTTTTCAAGTTGTACATGATTTTCTTGATTGAGTATCTTAGATGCGTGATTTATTCAACTGTGGAAAATCGGGTTATGTCAGAATTGGGACTTGATTTTTCTTTGTTATTCTTGAAGTCTTCTTATTCATTGAAGTTTATCCTCTATTTCAGTTAATTTGCCATTGTTTCGTTTTCACTGGTAATGCGGAGTGTCCCTCATTGTTAAACCACGGGATTAATTGATGTGGTTAATGGTGTGAGTGGTTTTTTTGGTAATAATTTTATAACCAGAAAAAATCTCAGTATTCAGTACACAGTTCAACGAGGGCATCTCGTCCTTATATAGAAACATAAAAAGAAAACTCTCCTGAAGAAACCAACAAAAAACACCGGCCCTGATCTAAAAAACCTGAACGCTAGTGGACATAAGCATTCAGTAAATCATCTGCATGACACGAGTGGCTTTTTGATGCTAGTATGAAAAATTCATTGAATCGGTCTGTTTGCAATTTACTTTTTTCCTGTTTATTTAAAGCTTCAAAGCCTTCAATTAGCATCAAATTTTGGAAGTTTCCAACTATAGAAGTTGAATATAAAAGCGTATGGAAGTACACGAGAACGATGAAATTAAGATGGTTAAAACGGCATGTTTTTGAGTAGTGATTGCTTTAAATTGAAGCCAAGATTGAAGAAACGAAAGGGAAACTTTTGGTTCTGGTGTCAGCTCGTGCAGTTTCTCCATATATGCTCTTCTGTGGTTGTTCCATTTGGCGTGTACTTGTGCATGCATGTGCATACATGTCTGACAGATAACTTTATCTTGCCTATCTACCTTACAAACTCTGTGTGTGTTATTTGCTTCACCGAGATCCTGTATTTTAAAGCCTAACATTATGTCTTGCCTTCACAACATTGCATGTTGTTAGTTGAGATCAATCGATTTCACTTATCCCTGTTACTTCTTAGCAGGTCAATATTATTCCTGCCAATATTTTACCTGTTGGATACCCAAGTCATCAGAGTCATGGTCAGAGTTCATACGTGTCCGATGACTTGCCCAAGGCTGTTTTAATGACTCTAAATCAGGGTTCAGCTGTCAAGAGTATGGATTTTCATCCAGTACAGCCAATCTTCCTTCTTGGTGAGCTCTTACTGGCTGTAAAGAATTAGACTCTTAGTTCTTTCTGTGGTTTTAAAATTGTTTCTGTAGATTTATGGAGCTAGATAGCAGCTGCACATTTTTTTGGCTTTGACCCATCTGTTGGTGTGTGTGAATTTTTTAGTTGGAACAAGCACGGGAGAGATCATGTTGTGGGATCTCGTTAGTAGGGAGAGGCTTGCACACAAAAGTTTCAAGGTTTGGGATCAGGGAGCACGTTCAATGGCTCTGCAGGTTTAGCTTCCAAATGAAACCAAATTTTAATTAAAAATAGAATTTTGTTGAATTCATCTTTTGTTTTTTCTGTCCCTTTTTGGTTTTCTACATGTTTAATCTACTGTTGATGTTTCTGAGTCGAAAGTGATTTTTTGATTTTATATCAGGCATCTCTTGCGAACGAATATGCAGCATCAATTAACCGTGTGATTTGGAGTCCTGATGGCGCCCTGTTTGGTATGTATATTAGTTGGGGATTCTACTTTATTCTAATGTTCAATTGCATTTTCACTTATATGCACATTAGAAAGCTGTTATTCTAAACTAGCAAAAAAAATTGTCTGAAATGACAATTGGGGGAGTTTCTGAAATATCTTGTATGGTTGTGCCTATTTCAGGTGTTGCATACTCCAAGCACATTGTGCACATATACTCCTACCATGCCGGTGATGATCTAAGAAACCACCTAGAGGTCCTTGCTTGTTCTCATTCTGTTGGGAGTTCTGTTCTTCCTTTTCTTCATATTTTAAGCATATATGCCTTTTGTATGTGGGCCTATCCTTCTATCTTTTCATATATGTTGATTGTACAAAACTAATACTAACAGGATCTTGATCTCTTGTTGATTATCCAGATTGATGCTCATGTTGGTAGTGTCAATGATCTTGCCTTTTCTTATCCAAACAAACAACTTTGTATTGTCACGTGTGGGGAGGATAGGCTCATTAAGGTATGTTTACTTCATGTTGTTGCTCTATGTGGGATGGGAGGCTTGGACTTCGGTCAGGTTGAACTTTCTACTTTCTGCAGGTATGGGATGCAGTAACAGGGGCCAAGCATTATTCATTTGAAGGTCACGAAGCACCTGTATATTCTGTATGTCCACATTACAAGGAAAATATTCAGGTGCGGTTTTTCTATATTAATGGTAACTTTCAAAACTCTGCAGTAGCATCATGCACTAGGCTACCCTTTTCATTATGGTAGCCTCTGCTACTTCTTGTTCTGCTAGCTTCACCACATACGAAAATTATTCAAATTTTCCTTGAAATTTTATTAGCAAATATGGGTAAATACATGCAGAATTATGATCTGTGGCTATGATGAAATGCTGGTCTGTTTGTTAATTTTTCGTCCATATGTTTTTAATAATGTCCTTTTGTAGATTAATTTTATTTCTCTCTTTTGCTTCCGTTTTTAAACATTGTTGGAATTAAGTGGTTAATTGGACTGCTCGCTTTTCCTAATTAGGTTGACAAAACCGGCCTAAGTTCTAACGAGTTTGTGTCTCAGCCCAAGTAGCCAGTAGCCACCTCCACTTAGAAAAGTCAACTTTTGCAGTCTCGTTCTATTATTGTTTCAGAAAGGCCTGAACTTAACATTTTGTGTTTTTTTTATAGGAAATGGTAGAATATTATTAATGTAAAAATAAAAAGTACATGAGGACCAGAGTACAAGGAGTCCTCAAAATGAAAAAGATATGGAGAAAGAAAGCTATAAAGTTAACTTAGAATATAAAACAGGACATTCCATCCTCAACAATTGAAACACACTTGGACCCAATGAGCCCTCATCAAAAAGAAAGGTATTTCTTCAAAATCTTTAGACATGGAAACCCAAATAGAAGCCATGAAAGTGATTTTTTCTTTGTAACTCTTGCCAAGGAGTCTCTCTATCTTAAAAAATTCGGCTATTCCTTTCCAACCACTGCACCCTGCCATGCATTTCCATAGAGTCTTTGCTTATTACTTGACCCAAATTCCTCAAAATGAATCTCGAAAATCATTAACATTTTCTGGTTTTAAGTGACATGTAAAAAATAACTGGCGTCATACATTTTAGGACTGGGAATAATTGGAGTTTCTTTTATGTGATCTGTCATCCCCATCCTTCTCAACTAGATCCCCATCCTTGAATTTGTGTGAACTTATGTGTCTCGCTCTCATTTGAAGGTGGATTCCCTTGTATTATTTTAAACGTCAATCATACAATTGGTTTAATATTGCTGTTCTATTTAATTTGTTAGTATTTCTTTCCCTTCTTATCCCAGTTTATCTTCTCGACCGCAACTGATGGGAAAATAAAGGCATGGTTGTATGACAACATGGGTTCAAGAGTTGATTATGATGCACCGGGTCATTCATCTACTACAATGGCATACAGTGCTGATGGAACGAGGTTCACAAGTGAATTAAATTTGACACTATTCTGATTTGCATATCTTGTTAAAAATGAGTTGACAGTTGCCATATATCTTTTAATCTTCAAAGAAATATCTGTTTGATAATACAATGGATTATGCGTAGGTTGTTTTCATGTGGAACCAATAAAGAAGGAGAGTCACATATCGTGGAATGGAATGAAAGTGAAGGGGCTGTTAAGCGAACATACATTGGTCTTGGGAAGCGATCAGTGGGAGTTGTGCAATTTGATACCACTAAGAATCGATTTCTGATTGCTGGTGATGAGTTCATGGTCAAATTTTGGGACATGGACAATGTTAATCTGTTGACAACCACCGATGCTGAGGGTGGATTACCGGTAAATTGTCAGTTGTTTCAGTTGATAAAAATATTTCAGGCACTTTTTCCTGCTAACCAACCGTCCTGTTTGTTGATGCATCTCTAGGCTTCTCCTTGTATCCGATTTAACAAGGAAGGGATGTTGTTGGCTGTGTCAACAAATGATAATGGCATTAAAATTCTAGCAAATGCGGATGGGTTTAGGCTACTACGAACTGTGGAAAATCGTTCATTTGATGTTTCTAGAGTTACTGCTGCAGCTGTAGTGAAGGTAAATTAATATTTGTGGTTGATAGCTTTTGTGCGAGTATGTCATTGATTTGCTTTGTGTATATAAAGGCCCCCGGTATAGGCGCATTTGGTGCTGCTAGTGCTAGTGTTGGATCAGGCATTGCCGATCGAGCTGCTCCAATGGTATCCATGGTTCCAATGGTGAGCGTTTGCTGTCTTACTTGAGAGGAAGCTAGTAGTTTCAGTTGGGCCTTTCTTCAATTAGTCTGTGCTTTATCTTATTGATCTAATTAATGCATACCATTTAAGTGCTATTGTGAATTTATGCATGCACCGGTCACTTGATTCGAAGTGTACTCAGTGAAATCATTGTGCATTCTGTAATCAACTTTTTCTTTCCTGAGTTCTTGTAGAATGGTGACAATCGAATATTGGCAGATGTAAAGCCCAGAATTGCAGAAGAGTCAATGGACAAATCTAGAATCTGGAAACTGACGGAGATTAATGAACCATCACAGTGCCGCTCTTTGAGGCTCCCAGATAATATCTCAGCAATGAGGGTACGGGTGCATTCTGTTCATGCCAATGGGAAAATAAACTATTAGCTTTTGCCTCTTGATGAATTTTCTTTAGCATATATAATTTTTGTTGTAGTATACTATTAGAGGGGAAGATAGATATTTAATTATGGGTACGGGTGCATTCTGTTCATGCCAATGGGAAAAATAACTGTATTAGCTTTTGCGTCTTGATGAATTTTCTTTAGCATATATAATTTTTGGTGTAGTATACTATTAGTGGGGAAGATAGATATTTAATTATTTGTAACAGGAACAAATAACCAAGCCTATAATAAACCATCAAAAACTCTTAAGCTCATGTGTGATTTCTTGTATTTTTGGTGGAATGCTGTCTTCTTTCTTTTTTTAACCTCTCTCTCTCTCTCAAGCAACGCATGTGGAAAGAGGAAGAAAAAAGTTGCATTATTGCGTTCACTCATTCAGTGTAGGCAATAATGGTACTTTATATTGCACTAAATATGCATTTATAACTAGTCTCCTTACCACCGAGTGGGGTGGTCTATTGGGGTACCGGCCGAATTTCACCCTAAGGTTGGAGATTCGAGTCTTAAAGTCTATATTGGGGTTAGTGGTTGACTGCTATGCTATCCTATTTAGGTTCGTACCCTAGAGGAGTAACGGGCGTGGTCAAGGGCCTCATGATCCCACCGGTGAGGGTCTATCGGGGTAGTTTCTGAGCACTCTCCTTTGCCCCCACCCCTTTTTTTTGACTGGTCTCCTTCCATTGATAATTAATGTTTTTTGCTTGATCACTGTTCTCAACGCAACTCAACAAAATCTAGTCCCATCTTTTTGGATTGGCTAAAAGAATCATTTTGTTTGGCCTTTTACAATATAACTAATTAGATGCGCGTCTTTCCACCTGAAAAGTTTCTAAAAATCGGAAACATGAGTGCATTTGCATGTGCCCAAGCACACCCAAATGCTCTTCTTACTTGGACCCAATTGGTTGCTACCTTCAGTCTTAACAATGCATGAAGTAGCAGTACCTGAGAGGTTAGTTTTAGTTTCATCTGAGTGGTCTGTAGGCAAAGGAGAGGCTTATATTTGTTTTTTCGAAGTAGCATTCTTACATTCGGATTATTTGACCTATTGGCAACATAAGCTGCAATTTAATTTCTATGTACAGCTTATCTTAATTCTTGCATGAGATTTATATAGCGTTACAAATCCAATAGTGTTCGAGCTTTTCTTTTCAGTTTATCTTATTTTTCGTGTCCATTCTATTAATTCAGGTTTCAAGGTTGATGTATACTAATTCAGGACTTGCCATATTGGCACTAGCAGCCAATGCTGTGCACAAGCTCTGGAAATGGCAGAAGAATGACCGAAACCTATCTGGGAAGGTATTGTATCATCGTGCTAAGACATTGTCACATTAATATCTATAGCTTGTGCGTATCATTATGCTAAAGAATTGCTTTATCGCATTCTGACGCTAATATCTATTGCTTGTGCCTTTACCAAATTTGCCTTTTACAGGCAAATGCAAGTGTTGTACCACAACTATGGCAACCTTCGAGCGGAATATTGATGACAAATGATATTAGTGACACAAATCCTGAAGATGCTGTTCCATGCTTTGCACTGTCAAAGAATGATTCTTATGTCATGTCTGCGTCAGGAGGGAAAATCTCTTTATTTAATATGATGACATTCAAGGTAAGTTGCTTTTCCATATCATCTTCTCCACTTTGCTCCTATAGTGTAGTTGGTTGATTCTTTCTGTTAACTTCATAGACGTTTTGATGGCCGCATTTTGTTTAGAAAAAGTTATGTCGTGGGAGTTTGGTATTAATAATGACAACTTTTCCCTAGCTCTGTACTTTTTTACCAAAGGTCTATCCCCTCGGTCCTGTAGGTTTTAACTGTTTTGTTTCGATTTGGGATGTAAAATATTCATAAAAATGAGGTGGAAATTATTACTTAAGCTATGTATTTCGGCATCCCTTTTGTTTTTTTGGGAGGGGTTTCTCTCTGCATGCACAGAAGTCTTGACAAATGTAGTGGATCTTGATATTATACTTGACAAATCTAGGCTGAATGAGTAATTTCGGATTTTTTTGGTGGAGCTTTTTGCTGGGCAGAAATTTTCTACATATCGTCCTCGTGATTTTCCATACATTTACTGTTATTCTGTTGCAAATGCAGACAATGACAACATTCATGCCCCCTCCACCTGCAGCAACATTTCTGGCATTTCATCCTCAGGACAATAACATTATTGCCATTGGCATGGAGGACTCCTCTATCCAAATATATAATGTCCGGGTTGATGAGGTTGCCCTCTTTTATACTAAAACATTATGTTTATGAATCAAAAAATCTTTAGATAAGCTGAAGTGGGTTATAATTGTGATGTTTCATACTTCCGTTTGTGCAGGTTAAAACCAAGCTCAAAGGGCATCAAAAACGAATAACAGGCCTTGCCTTCTCTAACACTCTTAATGTGCTTGTATCTTCTGGAGCTGATTCTCAGGTATCAGTTTAGTGGCCCTTGTCTTACTTTTGGATGCCTTTCAATTGGACGAATAAAGGGATCTACAATAAAGAAGCCAAAAAATCATGGATTAGCTCATATTTAGCCCCCGTTTGGGGCTCCCTGCATTTAAAGTAGAACCAGATGGAGTGTGAAATGAAATTAACCTAATGATAGAATACATTTTTGTCTTGACTTTTTAACAACTTGTTCATGGCTTTTCCAAGTAACCATATATACTTATGTTGTTCTTTGTACTTATGTGCTCTTCATTTACTGGAAAGATTATGAAGTCTGCAATAAGTTGCAAATTATCCAGCCAGTGATGCCATTTTGTTTTTACAGATGTGTGTTTGGAACACAGATGGATGGGAAAAGCAAATGAGTAAATACTTGCAGATTCCAGCTGGGCATGCAGCTGCTCCTATTGCAGATACCCGTGTACAATTTCACCAAGATCAGACACATTTACTAGCTGTACATGAAACTCAGATAGCCATATATGAAGCACCTAAACTGGAATGCCTTAAGCAGGTGTGCTTGTTTTTTTAGCATATATTGTTATTTTTCTGTTTCAAATGTGGCTTATTTAGGGTAGACGGAAATTTATTTCATCATAACTTCTGATCGCTTTGTCTTCAATTGGTCTTTCCCGTATAGTGGGTACCCCGAGAAGCGAGTGGGCCAATAACACATGCTACATATTCTTGTGATAGTCAATTGATATACATCAGCTTTGAAGATGGAAGTGTAGATGTTCTCACTGCTTCAACACTTCGATTAAGATGTCGAATTAATCCCGCTTCCTATCTACCTGCCAATCCGAGGTTGATTACTTTCTCCAACTTCCAGAAAAGATGATTGTATTGCATTTCTCCTCCAAATTTTCTTCCTAAACTTCCAATTTCTTAATCTTGCAGTTTGAGGGTCCATCCACTCGTCATCGCGGCGCATCCGTCCGAACCTAATCAGTTTGCATTAGGACTTACTGATGGTGGAGTCTGTGTACTCGAGCCACTAGAATCAGAAGGCAAATGGGGCACCTCACCTCCTCTTGAAAACGGGGCTGGGCCTAGCACCACTTCAGGTGCAGCCAGTTCAGATCAACCCCAAAGGTGACGGTCGAACCATGAGTGTTTCTGTCACTTTCATGTGAATTGCACCATCTCTGATCCCAGTTATTTATTTTTTTTGAGGGAAGTTGCATAATTTAGGTACTATGGTTATAGGATACTTGAACTCAAAAGTCTTGTAAAGTCACTTTAGTGGGTAGCATCAAAATCAATTTGAACACAGGCATGTTACTATTTTCTCCTTGGAAATGTTGAGCAAAGTTTCGGTTCATGGTTTGGCGATGGAATGTGGTTTTCTTTGGACCTGGAGGAATTCGGCAGCAATGAATTGTCTTTTTTTCACTTTTTCTGACTAAATACTTATCAAAAGGTTCTGACTCCAGAGTTATTCAGTAAGTTACTTTCAACAGTTAAACGAGTTCTTTTGTCCTACATTAAATTCTTCCTTACTTTGGAGTTCGATGTAAGTATTTATGTTTTTTGTTGTTTGTGACAAGAATATTCTCTTTCATTAATGTGCAATGCTCTGCCATTGTAATTCAGTCTGATAGACTCTATGTTGTGCCCGGTTTGTATACTTTGGTTGAGACAGTTTTGTTGAGTTGAAGGACAGCTAAGAAAGTCTATTGAAGTGAGCGGATTGGTGGTGGGGCTAATCTTCAAGCATGAATAAAAAAGATCTAATTGAATTTTGCAAAATTAGAAAGATGGCGAATGTGGTATCGAGGTTCTATTGCTAGTGCTTTCATTATTATGGTGGTGGCAATAATGGTGGTGAAGAGGGGTTGGAGGTGTCGATGGTGTGAGTTGGAGGGTGAACATTTGGCCCCTGTTTTTTGTGAGTTCGAAATTTGGAGGTATTTTGTGGTTGAGAGAGATTTTTAATTTGCCAATAATCAGGTGCTGTCCGACACAAAATGGGGTCTAAAGTGAAAATTTAAATGAAATTTCATTATTTTTTAAAATAAATTTTAATATTTAAAATATTATTTATATTATTGACTTCTCATACTGGCAATATTATGGGCTATAGAGTTTTTTTAAGTTAGGGAAGTGGAGAATTACATTGAATACTCAAAATAGGCACATCTGATACTTTTCCACTGGATAGATCAGAAATTTACAATTATGACATAAAAAATTATAGAAAGAGATTAATAACATTGATCTCGATGATAAACCTAACTTTTCAGGCTACAACATTCATAATATTTGATTTTGCAGGTAGCAAGAAAAATCTAGATATTAAATTAGTTTTTAGTTGTCCATATTCGTTACCATTCTAAATAAATTTTTATTTTTATTTTGCTAAGTGCCATTAGCCCAAACATATCTTTGGGTCAAGACTCGTTTTAAAAGTTTGTCTATTTTTTTTTTCCTATTTTAGTCCCTTTCATGGTGAAATATGTTGTACAAACATTATTTGAAACTTGTGTGATTAGTTGGTGTCACAAAAGGGTAATGTTATTTCGAAGAATTTGATCCAAGTGTTGATTTAATGACGTGGTTTCAGTGGAATTATTGGATTAACACTAAATTCTTCTAATATGGAGAAATTAAAATGAGGTATACCAAATTAGACTTAATTGTAAAAAAATATACAAAAAAAATTGTTAAGTAATTAAGTTCTTAATTTTGATACTTATTTATATCTAAATATATTATTTGAATTTTACTGATTTTTTTGTAACATTTTTGTCGTCCATTTATTCATGTGTATTTTCTTTGAAAAATGGTACATTAAACATCTCGTAGTTTTATAAGAGAACTTTAATATTCCATATTTGTATGTACTCACTTGATTCATGCGTATTTTTTTTTTGAAAAATGATTTTATTTTCAAATTATATTAATATCCAAACAGTATAACTATGTAACAAGTTATTTATACAAAATATTGCACTATAACATTTTGTTAAACATATATTTTCATATAATTTCATTCAAAATAATCTATCTTCATTTTGAATTTGTTACCACATGCACAAAATTACTGAACAATATTTTTATTATAGTGTATTGTTACACTATCTTTGTTACAATGTATTTGTTATATTATTACGGAGTTTGGATATTAACAAATTTTGAAATTCAAACAAGTGATATATTTTAAAGTAAACGAAATATTAAAATTTTTCTATGAAACTAGTAATAATAAATATTTAATGCATAAATATAATTTAAAAATAAAATCATTTTTCAAAATTAGAAAATATTTAATGCGCCAACTTTTTTTCCATATTCACTACAAAATTTTATTATACAACCCAATATTTAGCAATGCATTCATTACACAGGTGGCAATAAACTTTATATCGTAGTTGAGTCTAGATTTTTTTCTCGAATATTCTTTTTCAATAGTGTATGGCCCACCATTTCTAGGTGGAGGACCACTTATATATATCACTCTCAAATTTATGACAAGTAATGTACTATTAAATTTTTTTTTAAAAGAAAAGTCTACTGCAAGATATTCAAAATCCTTATTTTTTTATGTTAAATTTTTAATACCAACTTCATTCTTGAACAAGAGTATAAATTATTGTCAATATAACTAAATTCAATATGAAAAAGAAATCAATTACAACAAATCCAAAAAACCTATAAAAAGAATGCAAACGAGTTTAATAATTTTTTTTGATATATACGTGTGTGTCTATATATATATATGATATTTTTATTTTATATGAAATTATGTTTTAGTCAGATCAAATTAAGACTCAAACATATGAATTCAATAGTATCGATTTTAGTAAAAAAAACTAGTATTAATTCTAACTTGAGAGGAAAGCTATTAAAAATTGATTTCAAATTATAACTTTCAATGAAGTAGTATTAGAGAAGTTAAGTGTAAAACCCCACGAGAGAGAGAGAGAGAGAGAGAGAGAGAGATGGGTTTAAGAGAGTTGGACGTTACAATTGGCAATTTGGCATCCAACTTCCTCTTGACATCATCCCAAAAGTTCCATACGATTACGCTATTGAACGCGCTTTTTGCTTCCCTTTCTATCCTCCAACCTGCTTCCATTGGACTCTCTGCTCTCTCTCTCTCTCTCTCTTAGTTGGATAGGAAAATCACACAGTAGACACATTCATATACGTACGTATAGAGATAGAGACACGACTGTACATCACCGCTGTGATCGTACGACCATCTTCACACCGCCCATACTACGCCAGCGATCGTTCATTTTCGCCACCCATCGTATTCTCCTCTTCTTATATCACTCGGAAAAGGTAAACTCATATATGTGTGTGTGTGTGTGTGTACGTGGATATATGTTAAATTCATTCCTATTCACAGATCACATGGAGTTCACAGCCACCGACCTTAATTCGAATTAACTTAAGTCTTTTTGTGTCTGTGGTTTTTGTATATTTAAGATCTTATAGTCCTCGACATTCACAATTGTTGTGTTTGAAATCAACTACAGAGCCAACCCTTCAAACCAAAAGAAGCTACCGGTGATACCGAGTAGTGGTTGATTGGTGTAATGGCAACGAGCACAATTAGAAAGGCAATCGGAGCGGTAAAAGACCAAACAAGCATAAGCCTAGCCAAAGTAGCCGGCAACGTAGCCCCAGACCTCGAAGTCTTGATTGTGAAGGCCACAACACACGATGACGAACCCGCGGATGATAAGTACATTAGGGAGATTCTAACTTTGACATCTTGTTCAAGGGGTTATGTGAATGCCTGTGTTTTTGCGATCTCGAAAAGATTGGGCAAAACCCGTGATTGGATTGTGGCTCTAAAGGCGTTGATGCTTGTACATAGGTTGTTGGTTGATGGGGATCCTGTGTTGGGGTTGGAAATTATGTATGCGAGTCGGAGGGGGACGAGGGTTTTAAATATGTCAGGTTTCCGCGATGAGGCTCACTCGAATTCATGGGATCATTCTGCTTTTGTGAGGGCTTTTGCATTTTATCTCGATCAAAAGCTTGAGTTTTTGGTATATGAAAAGAAACTCAGTGATGTTGAGGATAAAAGTAGACGCGAGGATGGGTATGGATACGGAGAGCATAGGGATGAACCCAATTATGGGATGAATGGAAAATCAAGGTTTTATGATGATTTGGGTGAATCTGTGGGGAGAGAACAGAGAAATGGGGTGACACTGATTACGGAATTGAGGCCTCAGAAGGTATTGGAGAGATTGCATCAGCTGCTTAGGCTTCTTGATCATTTCTTGTCTTGTAAGCCGACGGGAGCAGCAAAGAATAGTCGGATGGTGCTGGTTGCACTATATTCAATTGTGAAGGAGAGTTTTAGGCTTTATGTTGATATATGTGAGGCTTTAAGGGTTTTGTTGGATCGATTTTCAGAGATGGAATATGAGGATTGTGTTAAGGGTTTTGATGAGTATGTTCGTGCAGCGAAGATGATTGATGAGCTTGTGGGGTTTTATGGTTGGTGTAAGGATATAGGGATCGCAAGGTCATCAGAGTATCCGGAAGTGCATAGGATTACTGATAAGCTTTTGGGGACGATTGAGGGGTTTTTGAGGGAAAGGGCCAATAGGCTGAAGAGCCCTGAGAAAAGAAGGGAAGAGAGTTCCTCAGTAGTTAAAGAGGAGGCAGCTTTGGATATGAATGAAATAAAGGCACTACCTCCACCTGAGAATTACAATCCTCCACCTCCACCTCCACTTGAGCCCCAACCGAAGCGCCAGACTCAGCAGGTCACTGAAGACTTGGTGAATTTGAAGGATGATGCGCTGTCAGCTGATGAGCAGGGCAACAAATTCGCATTGGCCTTATTTTCTGGACCGTCTGCCGTCAATACAAATGGCTCGTGGGAAGTGTTTCCATCAAATGGAGAACCTGAACTGACTTCAGCGTGGCAGACACCAGCTGCAGAGAGTGGTAAAGCTGATTGGGAATTGACCTTGGTGGAGTCAGCCAGTAATCTATCCAAGCAAAAGGCTGATTTGGGCGGTGGATTTGATCCATTATTGTTGAATGGCATGTATGATCAGGGGGCAGTGAGGCAGCATGTGAGTAATACTCAGTTCAGCGGTGGGAGTGCAAGTAGCGTGGCATTGCCAGGGATGGGCAAGAGTGCAACACCAGTGCTGGCATTGCCTGCCCCGGATGGGACAGTTCAAACAGTGGGGCAACAAGATCCATTTGCAGCATCGCTCTTAGTGCCACCTCCTTCATATGTGCAAATAGCGGAGATGGAGAAGAAACAGACTTTGCTTGTGCAGGAACAACAGCTATGGCAGCAGTATGGAAGCAATGGGATGCAAGGCCAAGTGGCTTTGGCTAAGATTGCTGGTGGTGCTGGTTACTATGGCACTGCTCCACCACCTATGATGCCTTACGGCATGCCACAGATTAATGGTATGGGAATGGGACAGCCAGGAGGGTACTACTACACACCTTACTGAATTTGCTCTATGGATAAATGATGCCTATGCCATAATTCACTTCATTAATACCCCCACCCCAAAAGTACTCTTTTTGGTCTCTCTCTAATCTACTGTTTATTGTGATGTTTTTTTTACTGCTTACTGTTTTGCATAAGAAGTGAGAGATACTGGAGATCACAATACAGATGAGAGGTGTTTGCTGCAAACTTGTTTTCTTATACAACTCAAATAAGTACGGAATCATATTAGGTATTTCTTACATTTTAGCCAATTGTTTCATTTACATTGCTTCGTTCTGGTTTGAAGCTACTTATTTGAACATGTCTTTTGGGGGTAGTAATATGGTATTGAAATGTGTTTTTTTTGTATCGTACTGAAATTACTACGAAATTAGGAGCAATGTTACCACTCAATATGGTGACGTTATATAGGGTTGTTTGGGATCGATCATACTATTTTAGGATCTATCTTAACTTCTTTTTTTTTTTTTTAAGTTAACCTAAAAAGTTATAACACAACCCACAAAATTATATTCTTAGTACAATATCTCTTTCGCTACGGTATACTTACCCTTCATTGTCGATCCAGCTTGTATCCACGTTGAGAATTATGCAAGAAGGTTTAGCCTAATATGTAATATCCGATCTGACTGAGTCCTTGTTGACTGGTCCCTGGCCATATTGGCACTTACGACTTGTTCATATGTGTTTGGCCATTTTTATTGGAAACTTCGTTGGAAAGACCGTAATACATTAGGTCATGACATTTGGAAGTCACAAGCACATGGGATTAAATTGACTTGGTACACCATGCTTTATAAATGTCGATGCAAACATTTTGGACTGCCGGCCGGTGACTCTTGATGACCTCCAAAAGGACAGAAAAGAGACCTCGGAGGTCACGGCGATTGCCTAGCGTTCTCCGACGCCCAGATTTTTACATCAGCAATATAGATTTCTTAGTGACTCGTGTTTTTGGTTGTGTTTTGGAGAAATGACTATGAAATATAATGTGTATGATTGAATAAGTTGTACTTTTTAAACCATGTTTAAAGCTTTTCAAATGCCTAAAATACATAATTCGATCAGCTAGGCTGTTGGACAAAACCCACGTTGTTATTGGTGGTGTCGTGGTGGGCACATTCCTCTCTGGGTCGGTCTGGTCTAATTGAAGTCAATTTACTCACATAGAATACAGGGTAGAATCAACAACTTCCAAAATTCTCATTTGCACCTTAGCTTATAAAACACCAATACATTATCCCAAAGGGTCATCGCCTAGCATAGCTCTACAATGCTAGGGCTAATGACCACAGCGTTATGGGATTCATATATCAGGATAACTACTTTATGGAAATAATTTCCCGTTCAAATACGCACTCAATCGGGTCCAGCATTGGTTACAATGGATCAAACTGAGTAATGACACATTTTATTCAATGATCAATATCATCCTGTTTCAATTCAAACATATGTTGGACGATCTATGCAAGGAAAGAAATGCGAGGAAAGCATGTTGATATTATTTGAAAGAATAATATTTTTATCCTGAAAATCTGAATTAATCCATTTAAAAGTAATATTGTTACTAAAGCACATCTAATTTTCAATCTATTGAATTCCCATTTGTGAATTCACATAATCGGCCTGATCAAAAAAAAAAAAAAAAATTCACATAATCTGAGACAGTTAACTTTTTATCAGGTCAAGTGTGATTTTTAACTATTTTTTAAGAGACAAAGTGATGTTATGGTAATGCTGTATGCGGAAAACTAAACAAAAAGATTCAAATTTTGTTTCGGGCACTTGGTAAATAGAAAAGTTTCAAAAACGTATTGAAAGTAAAATAAAAATAAATAAAAAATTTGATAATTTATTTTTAAAATATTCTGAAATATTAATCAAAAATAATATAGAAATATCCAAAAATACCTAAAAAGATTCAAAATAATAGTGAAAACACGTCAAAACACAATCACTCCGATCCCGTAAATATTTCAATTCAATCACCGATTAATTTTCGATCTCTCCTTGGATTATTGACTAAACATCACCTACTAATTGCGAGAAATTGATAAGTTTTGGTAAGAGTAAAATAAAAATATGTTCCTCAAATTATGATTTTTGTATCAATTAAGTTTTTGAACTCTCTTTTTTGGCCAATTGAGCCCCAAACTCTCTAATTATATTAATTAAGCTCTTTTGTCTACCTCCGTTATATTTTTTAACAGAAAATGGCAAAGTATGCTGCTATTCACGTGACACAAATAGTTGGAGTAAATTACACATGATTTTCAAATATGATCTTTATATCAATGAAGTCATTAAATTTTTTTTTGTATCAATTGAGTCCCTAAACTTTTTAATTATGACAATTGAGCCTTTTTATCTTTTTGTGCTATATAGCCATGTGAGTGGCACACTATAACAGAGGTAAACAAAGGGCTCAATTAATTCAATTATAGAGTTTAAGAGTTTAATTGACATAAAAAAAGTTTAAGAACTTAATTGACATAAAAATCATAATTTGAGGGTCATATATGCTATTTATTCTTTTGGAAAAATTAGAGACTGAATTAATTGAAATCTATCAAAAGGCAAACCGACATTAAGTCTTATTATTCAGACCCCTAAAAAAGTGAAAAATAAATAAACAAATAGAACGGAGGAAGCCATTAGCCGTGGCATCCTTATCGTTATCTGTTAGTGCTCGTGATCAGCAGACTCTCACTTTCTTTCTTACCGATTCGCCACCCAACTACACACCACAATCTCATTCAAATCTTCATTACAGCCAGATAAATTGATTACTTGGTGTTAAAAGTTGGTGATTTTGGGAGCTGAAGCATCTGATCTGAAAATGAGAGGATCAGGAGTGATCGTAGACGAAAGCTTCGGCTTTGAACAAGAGACTCACCTCACAGTCCACAAGACCTCTATCTTCTTCTCCGGCGACGGTTTTATCGTCTATGATCCTAAAGGAGAGGTGATCTTCCGAGTCGAGTCGTACGGTCCCGATTCTCAGTCCAATGACGAGCTCTTTCTCATGAACTCCTCCGGCAAGTGCCTCCTCACTCTCCACCGCAAGGTTAGTGGTGCTAGTTACTTTTCATCATGAATCGTCCTGATCAACTCAGTGAGCTGAGTTACTAGCTAGCAATATTTATAAAAAGGTTAATTGCACCAAAAGTATGGATTTGTTTAATTTTAGTCTCTAATATTTTAATTTTATCATTCTCTGAAATATAGAATACTAGTCACAACCCGTGCCTTGACACGATATAATATAAAATTTGAGCGTCCAAAAAATTAATCTCATTATATCAATTTTTTTAAAAATATATTAACTATAAATTAATCAATTATTAAATTATTAAATATATGATAGAAATGAGTAATGTAATATTTTTAAGGAATAAATATTAAACATATGATAGAAATAAGTGATGTGATTTGACGTTTGAGTCTGACAAAAGGATAATGGGTAAGATAAGTGATCGGTGGTAGTTTTGAGAGAAAAAATATAACTGGGATAAAATTCAAACACACTCCTGTTTTATTATATAAATGTTTATACGTGATTATCGTACAGACAACGTTTATATTGTTAATTATTTTTTATTATAAATTTATCGTATAATACCTAAATATAGGTAAAAAAATAATTTAAATAACTCTTAACTAAATTTTCATCCAAATTTTGGGCAAAATGTTACTCAAATTACATAATTTTGATAAAGAACTATCCAAATTTTAGACAAGAACCGTCCATATTACACATTTTTTGTCAAAAGTTACCAAAATTTTAGTTAAGAACTACCTAAATTATTTTATACCCATATTTAGCTATCACGTGATAAATATATGATAAAAAAATTGTTAACAATTTGAATGTTGTTTGTTTGACGGACCATATAAAAATATATTAAATTTTTCACTTATCAAAATGATGCAATTGAAATATTGGAGACTAAAATGAGATAAACTCTATACTTTTGACCGTAATTAACCCTTTATAAAATTAGCAGTTGTAATTTTTTACTACATAAATACAACATCAATACCATGGAATATTAATTAATTAGGGTCAACTACTTTTCATCGCAAATTGTTATTTGGATATAATTTGGAGACTTAATTCAATATAACGATTGTATTAAAGGTGGGTTTCATCTAATATTAAAATTCACCGTTAATACAAGTCCTTAATTAGGTCTTTAAAATTAAAATAACTTCCTATAACATTGATCAACTCAAAATAAACATGATTTGCTAGTACAACTATTAAATTAGTATTAAATGCGAATAATTTAATTTTAACATGCTAAATCTGTGTGACAGATATTATATTAAGAAATACTTGATTTTTAAAATTTCCCTATTTCTTGTTCATGTATTGCATGAAACCTAAGTAGAATTAGATGATTTGTTTACTTAGTTTTGGTTGCATAAAGGTTAAGTGGAATTTTAGTTATAGACTATCTTTCCATATGGTTGAGGCTAAAATATGAGATTTGTCATGTTTTGAGGTGTAATTTAAAATTTTAAATATCAAAAAAGTATAATTTCGTCGTTTTTTTTAAATCATTGGTCATTCAAAATGAACGATGAAAAATTAATAATAAATCATTTATTATCTATAAATGAAAATTCCGTTTATAACCTAGATCACAAGAGCGGGAACGGGAGCTGGAGCAATAGCGAAAGTTGACACTATTTTGTTACTAAGCTTGTAACTAAGGGAATTTTACTTAAACTGACAACCAGCATTATGGCAGCCCAAAAGAGGGTGATAACGTAATTTTCTTGGGTAAAAATGTAATTAAGGACACTTTTGCTTTGGAACACAGAAGCCTAGTCTTCATCAACGGTGGGAAGGATTTGTGGGGGAGAAAATGGACGGACAAGAACCAAGCTTCAGTGTGCATAGATCATCAATAATCGGACGGTCAGGCAGAGTGGTGGAGGTTTATGGCAATCCAGCCGAGGAGTATCAAATTGAAGGTTCTTTCCCTCAGCGATCATGTACTGTCTCCCACATTTCATCAGATGGTTCATCAAAGGAACTTGTGGCACAGATCAAACGGAAGGTGGACCCCACTACAAATGTGATGCTGGGGAAGGATGTTTTCTTGATCTGTCTCAAGCCTGGCGTTGATAGTGCTTTCATAATGGGCTTAGTGCTTGTTCTTGATCAGATGGATGGGGATGATTTTGATGATCTTCATGAGGTGGGTCCTACTGTGGAGGTTTTGTCTTCTTGATTGGCTTGTTCTTCAAAGTTCAAAGTTAGGATCAAAATCGAAAAATCCTGGTATATGTATAATTGATATATAAATAAATTGTGTTATATATTTTTGTGCGTGCAAGATCCTGCACAATATAAAAAACGAGAACAGATCTCTCCCTTGATGAACTCGAGTGAGCCGGTTGAGTGACCAACCACGCTGCTTGGAACAGCCTGCGAGGTCCGATGGTAACCTGGAACGGCAATGGGAGACCCTGGGAGAGCGGAAGAACGATCCATTAAGACTGAAAGAGATTCCTGGAACGAAAAAAACAAGTTAGAAGGGCGCCGGAGTGTTTTTCGGCGTATCCCTTCCGACGATCTAGTCAGTCTTTGAGAAAGAGAGATGTAGGAGAAAACACTGAGTGTGTATTGTAGTAAAGAGTTTTTTGTTGCATACCCGTCTTGCCTTTTGCAAGGAGTATTTATACCTCAAAAGCTCATGATTGCTGTCAGTGTAGTCAGTAGGTGATCATTAGGTACAGGCTGTGTGCGCACTGATTCTGATGAGGAATGTCTTCTCTTCTTAACTGCTCGGGGTCCCGAGCAGTTAATGCTGGGTCATCGGGATGCCGACGGTACAATGTACTCCTCTCGGGGAGGATGCAATAAATGCTTTGTATTAGGAGCATTTAATGCCTTTCATTTTCGAGCCTTACCGCATTGAATGCGGTCCCATCAAGGGAATGGTGTAATTAATCGTTTGCTTTTCCAAGTCGCGTGTCAGCAACGACATGCGGTTTCTCTGTCTTCGATGTGATATCATATGTCACGCGTCCATCCCCCATTGGCTGTGGATCTTGCATTCCAGTACGTTCTGACACTAATTATGTAAGACGAGGTCATGATGAATAGCCTAGACTAGTCTAGGCTAATGACATGTACGTCAATAGCTTATCCTGGAGTAGAGGAGGCGTCCAGGACGGGGTACACCTCGGCACCGAGGAAAGGCTCATCTCGGAACCGAGGGGGATACCGACCGAGGTACCATATCAGACCGAGGCTACGTGTTGGTTGTAAAACGTACTAAATGCCATGATCCTATATGACGAGTACCTCGAGGGCGAGGACCTTTATACGCCGATGGTGCTTGATCTTAGCAACAGTGTTTTGGTAATACCGAGGACACGTGTCTTCATCATGGAACATTTCAGAAAAGTCCCATCAACTGCCCCCCAGCCTTTCGATTTTCTGACACCGAGGGCACGCGTCGTAAGGAGATGAAGGGTTTCCCAACAACCACCAATGCTTCATCATTGCCTCGAGCCGCTTTCCCCTGCTTGGGATGTCGTGTGCATTAAATGCGCCGTTTCGTTTTTCGCGCCTAATGATGAAACAACCACTATATAAATGGGACTCCTCTTCCATTTTCTTATTTCGCAATTCCGAACTTCCTTAATAGAGTCTTTTTCTGAATCTTCACCGGAGATCTCTTTCCTCTTCCATCGTCAACTGCTCATTCTTCCTTAAAGTCTTAAGGCCAGGAGACCCATCGTTGCTTCTGAACTTTTTGGAAGGAGTCGCTTTAAAGTTTTCTAGAAAATACTCCGTTTGACATTCGGGTGAGTTCTAGTATCTTTCTTCTTTTCTTCCTCCCATCCCTTTTTTGTTTTCCAATGACTGGAGGTGTCTCCGGTTGATACTTAGCGACTAATCCTCGGGAAGCTTCGTCAGGGATTTTTAAGAAAAAACACCCTCCACTTTCTCACTTTCTTAGAGATGTCTCGTCGTCGCCCCTACTCCCGAGAATCCTCAGGCTGGTTCTTCGGAGTCGGGGAAGTATAAGGTAAAGGGTGGTGAGCAGATTAATAGGTTTAAGGTCAAGTACGACATTCCCCCGTGCGTAGACATAGAGGATTATGACTCGGTGGTGCACCTTCCTACCCTCGGGGCCGAGGATACTATGCCATTTTATACCAAGGCTATAATAGAGGGAGGAATTAGGTTTCCTTTACCCCCTTTACTTCTTCCGTTCCTCTCTCACTTCCGCCTCTTCCCCGGGCAGTGTTGTCTTAATGTCTTCAAAATCATTATGGGGGTCTTAGAGCTCAATAGGCTCCTCGGGGTAAATATCGGGCTGAACGATCTCCTTTTTTGTTATGCCCTCTTGAGAGTCATGCCTCACCAACACTTCTACCTCAAAGCCAGGGACCCCTCCATGTACCTTGTAACTCATCTTCCCGACTCGGACAAGGGGTACAAGGACGATATTCTTATTTTCAAGGGATCTTGGCAGAGAGGTGTTGGTCCCGAGTATAACGGCTTGTAATGCCCTCTGGAATGGAGAACGACAAATACGTCGGTTCCTTTGGGTTTATTATTTTGTTCTCCAAACTTCCGATGTTCATGACTACTTTTTTGTTTGTGCAGATATTACTGCTCGGGAAACAGCTCCTCCCCCTCGGTCGCTGGTGAACTTTGCCGACCTAGTCACGACTTGGAGATTTATTAGTGACAACGGGTTCGACCGGGCTGCCCACATCCTGCTGAATTACACCCCCGGGTATAAGAAATTCTCATAGCTTCGTCAGCCTTTTGAGCCTTCGCGTTGGTCTGAACTCTTCGATCAGGCGGCGAGGCAGGAGGTCGAGGAAAACTTGGAGGAAGACCCTGATCATACTTCGGAGGCAGAGGTAGAGGGAGTTGTTGAAGAGCTCGGGGTTAGAGAGGACGTTGTTCCTTTGGACGCCGAGGTGGGGACTTCGGGAGGAGACTTGTGGCCAGACTTCCAAGTCCTACAATCTCTAGACTCCGAGGACGCCCTCGAGGTCGCGATGTCCAACACGCCTCGTATTGACCTGGGGTTCCTGAGGCAGAGGCAAGCTCTTGCTGCCGGGAGAGGTCGAGGATCGACCGGCGGCGCCGCATCTGCAGGGACCAGTTCCACCCCATCCTCAATGGTTCTCAGTCGGGGTCAAGTGCGTGACCGGGATCCTCAGGTAGAGAAGGAGAGAAGGGTCAAACATAGGCATGATGGCCTCGGCAGAGGATCCAGGGCATCTCCTGCTCAGCAGCAAAGCGGGAGAGGCCGTGGGTTACCCCCTGCTCCTCCGCAACAGCAGCAACAGCAACAACAACGGCAGCAGCAGACTCCCCCTTCCCTTCCGCCGACAGTGGAAGTCGCGGAGTGGAACCCCCGAGCCACCGATCACATGAACAGAGTGATCAGGGTCGATGATTCCATTTTGCTGGACCCTCATGTCGCCAATGCAGTGAGTGAGACACTGCATTTCGAGGCTGACATGGCGGCTCACAGGGGGCGATCAACGAACTTGCTGTTCCGCTCTATCATCCAGAATTTCCTGGTGGTAAGTTCATTTTTGCTTTGGTTTCTTCTCTCTCGCTTTCCATTTTTGTGACACACCTTTTTCCCTCATTTGTAGGCTACCCAGCAGATCTTCATAATAGCTGCGCGGTACCATGGGTCTAGGATGGACCTCCAGCGGGTCCGAGAGCAGAAGGAAGAGGCGGAGGGGGCCCTCGCCCGAGCAATGGAGGACGTAGCTGCCAGGAATTCTACCCTGGCGGGGCAGGCTGCTCAAATTGAACAACTCCTCAAGGATGCCGAGTCGGCTAAGGTTGGCGCTGAAAAGCTAAGTGCTGCCCTTGCCGATGCTGAGGGGAGGATCACCAAGTATACGCGGCGGCTTTCTGCCGCGGAGGAGAGGGCGGTTGGCTCAGAGGAAAGCTGTCTGGCTCTCACCCAGGAGCTGGACAGGATCAGAGCCGAGACACTGAACAGAAAGTCGGAGGAGCAACTCCGGGAAGAGTTCGCCGATGACGTGCTCCCTGCTCTTGAGGAAAACAGCAAGGAGTTCTTCAAGAAAGGGTGGGACGAGGCGCTCTAGTCTGCTGGAATCCCGTCAGACTCCCCGCTCTTCCAGATGCACAAGTACGTGCCCTCGGCAGAGATGGAACAGGCCGAAGCGGAGATTGCTGCCGAGGATGAGATCCCAACGCTGGTGTAAGTCTCGGCAGATCCGCCCGAGACAGTGATAGTGGACTTGTCCGAAGAGGCCCCGCCGGACCATGCCCCTGATCCTCATGTTGCCCAAGGTCTGTCCGTTGCCGAAGTACCTCTCCTTCTGCCTGCTCCAGAAGAGTCTCAACCTTTTTATGCTGACTCGCCCTCGGCTGATGTTGTGGAGATACCCGGGGCCAGATGAAAGCCCTTTTTTCTTTTTGATTGTACTCTTTTTTTTTTTTCTTTTGTAGCCTTTGGGGACGCAAAGCCCCTCTTCTTGAAATAAATCATGAGTATTTTTTTTCTTTTTTTTGCGTACAGTAGTGTTTTGTTTTGTTTTTTTTTTTTGAACTGTCTTCTGGGCTGTTCACCCATTCAAAAGGCACGCTCTTGTGTTTGCTTCGGGGACAGGAGTCCTTGAACTCTGTCCCCAGGGCCTTGCCCTTCCAGGAGGCTTGCTCCTGTATATGCTTCGGGGACAGGAGCCCTTGAACTCTGTCCCCAGGGCCTTGCCCTTTTAGGAGGCTTGCTCCTGTATTTGCTTCGGGGACAGGAGCCCTTGAACTCTGTCCCCAGGGCCTTGCCCTTTCAGGAGGCTTGCTCTTGTATTTGCTTCGGGAACACGAGCCCTTGAACTCTGTCCCCAGGGCCTTGCCCTTTATCTTTGTCGTTGGCAAGCACTTGAGGGAGAGAATACTTCAAAAGTAATATTTCTTTAGATTCATAACATTCCATGGTCGCATTACAAGTTTTTCATCCATGCCCTCTAATCTGTACGACCCGGCGCCCCCGATTGATATCACTTTGTAAGGCCCTTCCCAGTTAGGTCCCATTTTTCCCTCTGTTGGATCACGGGTATTGGCCGTTACCCTTCTGAGGACCAGATCGCCTATTCGGAATTCTCGCGCCTTGACCCTTCTGTTGTATAGTTGGGAAATCTTCTCCTGATACTTAGTTATCCTCAAGGCGGCTGCCTCCCTTCTTTCTTCCATTAGATCCAAATCCAATCTCAGTTGACGGTCATTCCCTCCTTCGTCGAAAGCTTGGGTCCTTATGGTCGGGAGCCCTACTTCGAGGGGTATGATTGCCTCCATTCCGTATGCCAGGGAGTATGGGGTTTCCCCTGTCGAGGACCGAGGGGTGGTCCTGCACACCCACAAAATG